ATACTGCACACAAATAACAAATATTTTTATGTATCAATGACTTTTTATTTAAATTATGCTAAATAAAATTTTACAGCATGGTTGAAAAATGAAATATATCGATATCTTCAAAACAGGATCAGCTAGGATTTTAAACCAAGCATTTTTTTAATGTATAATCGATATCAAATACGATGGCGTTGGCCGATTTTATCGTCATTTTCAAGCAACCTATCGTTACTTCAAGCCTGGTGTGTGCGGTACATACCTCGGGGGGTATGTACTCATTATAAAAAATATGCAAATCTCAATAATCACATTTTTACTGTATCTTGTGAAAGTTGCAGAATCTGCAGTTTTTAGTTTTGTAGTTAGAAATAATGATTTTTCTATTTTTTTCTTTTCAAAACTGCGAATGAAAACGTTAATTTCCTAGGATATATAGTTACAGATACATGCAAGTTTATAGCAATAATTGTGTTCTTTTTAATTTTATAGAGGTCAAATGTAAAAAAAATTACATATCCCCAGGGATATGTACCGCACACAGAATAAGTTTTGTTACATATCCCCGAAGATATGTATCGCAGTCATGGACAAAGTACATTGAGATTATGTCGCAGTCAATGTGTTAAAATCTGAATAATGTTATAAGACTATATTATTCGATTCTGCAACTCCTCTATGGTTATAATTGGAATAGAATATTAGCTGCTTTAGCTGATCCGTAAAATTAAAATCCAAAGGATTTAAGTCTGGAGAATGGAATGGCCAGAGTTGCCGAGACCCTCACACGAACTGTAAATGTATTACTGACGTAATTCCAACCAGTTAGAGAATTAGATAAATCATAAGCAATGTCTCGCTGCCAAATCTTCCAGGGGTTCAGAGACCATATTAACAAAGTAGTGATGACAGGCAGTGACGGCTGGTGAAAATTAATCATATTTTGATAATGAATCAGGGGATCCCGTTTTCTAAAGGATGTTTTACTCATATAGAGAATTTTCATTACGATAAAATTTTGAATGAAATTTGTGAAATAAAAAATTTAAATAGGGGTGGCCAACCTTGAGGTCTCGGAAAGGGTTGTACATATATTTGCTTAAAACAGAGAATGGTCACTTTTAAGGTGTGCACCATTAGCATCTTCTGAACTAGAATATATACAGGATTGGTTAAATTATAAAAAAGTTTCGGATTATGAAAAGAAATTGGAGGTCATACAGTTTCCGAAATAAGCTGAAAAAAAAACTTTACTTTTCTTATTTCTTCCATCTTTTTTATTATTGAAAGTATAGAAAATCGGTATGTACACAAATGACGATATGACGATCTATCTATTGCCAAGGTCGAAACATATTCCAGGCGTCTTATATTCTTATGTTTCTATAATCAACTTTTCTTATGCATAGATGCATTAAATTTTGGGTTCAACGTATATGATACTTCAGTGACGAGATTCTATTAAAGGTCAAAAAACAAACGAAACTTTTGACATGTCTGTTTAAAAGTAAACATTCATTTATTGCTGTAAATAAGTGCTCAAGTGTTTTTATTATTTTTGTTTGTAATACACACAATATTCAGCAAGTGAGAAGCTAGATACTTTTATGTTTTATTATGAAAAATTTCACAAATTCTCTAAAAAATTGTATGGGTCCTATGCTTCATTATTAAAATACATCTTTATTTTACTACTTTAATATTCACAGCCATCACTGTTTGACTATATACAAAATTTTTAACAAAATTAAATGTAAATAAAATGAAATAGTTTGGGTATTTATTAGTTTTCATTTTTTACCCAAAAAATGTCCTATTCATGTCCTATTTAATTGTTTGTTACTTAGTAACAATGTAATTTAATTTAATTTTCTTCATGTAGGAATTTTATTTTCTTAATCTAACAAAGCTCCAATCATTTGTATCAAAACTGGATTGTTTTAAATAAAAAACTTGAGATATTAATTTCGACTTTCGCAGCAGTGTATTATTCGACAGCTAAAAAAATTTATTGTGAAACTAAACAAATTTCAAGTTTAAAGACCATTACAAATGGGACTGAAATTATAAATAAAAAATTGTAAAAAAATATAGTTTCAAAATAAATTTTACACAGAACACTTAAAATGTACTTAAAGGAATTAACACGCCTTTTTTCAAGAAAAAACTATTTACTTAAAATTACACAAACATGAATATGTAATAAATAACATTGTGTGAGGTATAAAGGATCAAAACCTGGTTCGCATGTAAATAGAAGAAGCATCCTTCTCACTTAAGTCGAACCTTCGACAATGTTTAAAAATTTCGTTAGCAACGGATGCTAGTTCCATGGGTTGTCCAATTTTGTTTGATAACTCGAGGCCGAGATACATATCTTTTTGCGTGTTTTGCAGTGACTGCTCCACATCGTTGAAGTTCTTATTTCTAATAACGTCAGCCTTTCCAAGTAAATAGTCACTGGCTAGATTTGAATCTTTAAATACCATTAGAACACTGTCAAATGAAATCCCACATCTTTCAGCCAATGCAAATCCTTCAGCTAAACCCGCCAGACATACGCCTTTTATCAACTGCAGGATTAAATTTATTTTTGTAGCATAACCAACGTCTCCTAAAAAATATGCAGATTTTCCTATCGCTTCAAAGCAGGACTGGCAGTCAAAAAAGAGGGATCTGTTTCCTGCCGTAAGAATAACCAATTTGCCTTCAGCTGCTTCTTTTTTACTCCCTTGAATTTGTGCTTCTAAGTATCTTCCACCTTTCATTTCTATCATGTCCCTTATGTCTTTTGATGTCTCTGGATCAATACTTGTTATCTCCACAAATCCTTTTTCTTTCAAAATTTTATCAGACGAGTTGTTGATTCCAAAATAGTTCTGAATAATTTTCTTTGACACACTACAATCAGAGACACAATTTAGGACGATATCGGAGTTTTGCATAACCGCTCGAGGATTAAGAAATGTTTTTAACTGTCCTACTCCGTCTGAACTCATTTCTAGCTGTTTTTCAAGATCGGTGCATTTTTTAGTAGTTCTGTTCCATATATTGACTTTATGTCCTGACCTTATTAAGTTCTTTACAATTCTACTACCGATTATTCCTATGCCTAACACCCCAAATGATAAATCTGAGGTTGTTATGTTATTTGTACTGATATCATATGACAAGTTAAACTGTGATGTTGACAAATCAGCATCTCTAATATGATACGATGCTTGCTTCAATTTCTTCTTTGGGTTACCTACACTAGATTCTTTAACTCTTTTTGATGTAATCTTTTCTTTCCATTCAAATGACTTCATGGGCCACACATAATTTGGGTCTTTTTGTAATTCATCCGATATTTCTTCTATTTCTGCTACAGCTTCTTTAAAAGATACTGTCTTGTATAAAGATGTATATTTTTCTTTATAACTTTTATATGGCTTTAAATGAATATCTTCCACCCAAGCGTAATTATGGGAACCAAAAAAATAAATCCAGTGCATTTCAGAACTAGATTTTTCTGGTACATTGGAACCAGGTTCAACTACTACCGAAGGCCATGGAGGAAATCCTGTCATTTTTGCCCACACAAAATCATTTACTTTTATTTTCTTTTCCATTTCTTATATATACAGTATTATCTAAGTGCTAAAACTACCGTTTGACTTAATGGAAGTATTCAGGTAAAAATTCTCGTTTAATGCTTTCTCTTTCCTCTATCGGAGGTAAATTAGGGTGTATGCCTTTTTTCCTTCTATAAGCCTTAACAGAATGCTGAAACAAAGAAATTATTACAGCCTGTGCCATTAAATAATACGACTTCAGAGTGTTTCTACTTTAATTGACATTAATCAATTCTTAATTAGCTTTTGAAAATATGTGTTTACCATTATTCTATAACATCTTATGTAGACTCACCCAAAAACTTTTGCATGTGTTATAGTTTTGTATTTCGAACTGACAGGCTTCTTTATCGAAATTGTTGTCATTAAAGCATTTATATGATAATTCTTGCTCTTTCAAACAAGGATTATTCTTTTCCGCGTCTTTATTTTTCATTTCTTTTACAGAAAAATAACTTGTACCCACGTCTTATGTAAAAAAATACCAACATAATCGACGTAAAAAAAAACTGATTTTTCTACATTTTTTTGTGTCAAATCAAAAGTCAAAACTAAATAAATTTTTTAATAGCTATACACATAGAACACTATGGTTATGGTTTATTTGTTTTGTGACCAATCGCGTGCGTGCTAGAGTGAGACAACAATTACTGAGATACTGTCTGTCCCTCTCGCACACACAGCCACACTTTTCGCAGTGGCAATAATGGCATGCTACCTCCAGTAGTATATGCTCGAAGGATGATTCTTAGTTCTGTGGTTTGTAATTAAATTTGTTCTGCTGTCATTTAGGTTATGGAAATATGTTTTAAATTGTCAAAAGTTTTACAAATACAAATTTACTATTTGTAATTAGAAATTAAAAATTTATATTATTGTTTTATTATAATAGTAAAAAATTACAGCATGTCGGATGCCTGGGAAGAAATTCAAGCCATTAAGAGCAAAAGACATAGCTTGCGGGAACGTCTTGAAAAAAGAAAGAAAGAACGGCAAGATATACTTGGATCTAGCTTAGGTGCTGCGTCTCCAGTAAATATTTCTGAAAGTTTAACAAATAGCTATATTTTAAGTACTTCAAGTAATGTTAAAGAGGAGCAAAAAGTAAAATTAAATGTGAAAGATCTGGAGGATTTGGTCAGAGTAGACCCAGAGCTTGAGAGAGGTTTACTAAAAGAATTAAGTGAAGTGACACTTCAGTTACCTGTGTCTTCTTCAGAACTTTTAACATCTCTCAAGTTGACTTCTGATCGAGATACAGCACATAAAAAGATTTGTAATCTATTGGAAAAATTCGCAATACAAAAATTAATAACTGTAAAAAATTCTTCGAAAGATGGAATTAATATGCTGGAAGTATCACATGTCGAGGTTTCTAAAGTTAATGCTATGATTCTTGAGTTTACAATCAGTAGTTCGGAAATATCAAAAGATATATTAAAAAGAAAACGGGATGAAGAATCACCTGCCAAGAATAATGAAAATGAAGAAGAAAGGAAAAAGAAAGAAAAGAAGGAGCCAAAGGCAGACATAATGGTAACTTTTATATAAATGCAAAATAATTGTTGTAAATTGTAAACACATGACATCAATTCTAACAGTAAATGGAGTATTAATTATATTAGCTATTATTCATTTTGAAATAAATAATAATAGGATTTAACTTACCGAATTAATAGCTCGTATCTATTCTTCTTCAAAACTTGTTATTCACGCTTTGTGTAGAGTGAAGTGTTAACTCGGCGATTTTAGTCGGCTTTCATTATCGCATTCTTCTGATATTGAATGATTCACATAATGTACACAAGCTTTTATCGTTTAGCAATATTAAATGTCGCATAAAATGTTCAATAGAGACTAATAAATACTAAAGGAAAATTACTTTATTTTAAATAGAGTAATTTAATTTTCTTTCTTTTCATTTATATTTAGAAAAATGAACTTTTGTTTTAGTCACTTTTGTCAATGCCCTCAACGAAAGAAAAAGAAAGCAAAAAATTGGGCGAAGAAATATTAGAATTATTAAGTAAACCAACGGCCAAGGAAAGGTCACTTACAGAGAGGTTCAAGTCCCAGGGCGGTAAACAACTTATGGAATTCTGTCCACATGGCACCAAAATAGATTGCGAACGAAATGGAATTGTAGACTGTAAAAAATTGCACTTTAAAAAAATTCTGCAAAAACACACTGACGAGTCACTGGGCGATTGTTCTTTTTTGAATACTTGCTTTCACATGGACACCTGTAAATACGTGCATTATGAAGTTGACCGATGCGGAAAGTCAGAAGATAAGCCCACAATTCCAAGCGGGCCTGTAGTTAGAGTGGAAAGTACGACATTGTATCCCCCGCAATGGGTGCAGTGTGATTTGCGTTACCTGGATATGACAGTATTAGGTATTTTGCATATGTATTCTAATATTTTTGACATCTAAAACAGCCGTTGATAGGGGCACTTCAGTTTTTACAATTGTAAAATTGTCACTTTGGAAATAAAATTTTAGAATTATTTACAGTAAAATATTTTATCTAACTGAAAGTTGGGAATCGGTAATGAGCTTCAGTAAAATTATTTTGATGTTTGCAGGTAAATTCGCTGTTATTATGGCCGACCCTCCATGGGATATCCACATGGAGCTGCCTTACGGAACAATGTCAGACGACGAAATGAGACAGCTAGGTATCCCTCAACTCCAAGACGACGGTTTAATTTTCCTGTGGGTGACAGGTCGAGCCATGGAGCTCGGAAGAGAGTGCTTAAAGCTGTGGGGTTACGAAAGAGTCGACGAGATCATTTGGGTGAAAACCAATCAACTGCAAAGGATCATACGGACTGGACGGACGGGTCATTGGTTGAACCACGGCAAGGAGCATTGCTTAGTCGGAATGAAGGGGAATCCCCAGAATTTAAACAGGGGATTAGATTCTGACGTCATAGTAGCAGAAGTAAGGGCTACTAGCCACAAGCCGGACGAGATATACGGAATGATAGAGCGATTGTCTCCGGGGACGAGGAAGATCGAATTGTTCGGCCGTCCTCATAACATCCAACCTAATTGGATAACGTTGGGCAACCAGGTCGATGGGATTAGGCTCGTCGATCCCCTGCTTATAGAGAACTTTAAGAAGAGGTACCCTACTGGTAATTGCATGGCTCCTCCACCTGAAGGTACGCATTCATAGGAGTAAAACGGTATGGAAATTAATGTAAATACTAGTCAAATGTAAGTTTAGAAAACTGTTATATTAAGGTCTTAAGTAAATAAGTGAAAATTGATTGCAGTTGTAGAGTGGCCATTCCATTTTAAAATCGTTTACCTGAGGCAAGTTAAATATTCACTTTTAATTATTATACAGGGTCGGAAAGTCACCATGGTTCATCGGCCGTTACGTGAGAGAGCTAGAGAAAGTCATAGAAATCCGTGCGACAGAGAAAGATGTCTATAATGAACGCGTCTAATAGTCACCGTCCATTTCACCCTTCCACAAATAAGATCCACTTCTTATTTGTGGAAAGGCGAAATGGGTGGTGACTATTAGACACCTTCATTATAGCCATCTTCTACGACTTACTTGATCGCTCTCACGTAACGGCCAATGAACCATGAGGACTTTCCGACCCTGTATATGTTATACCTACAGTATAGGCTCTTTAATCCGAACTCACCTTAATCCGAATATCCACTAATCCGGCCCGACGAATGCCTTTTTCGATGGTCTGAACAAAACTTTAATTCGAACAAAATTCGGTTTAACATATACAGAGTGTGCCATTTAACACTCCCACTGCCAATATCTCCGAAATGAAGAAATTTATTTTAGTTTCGGAAAATGGGGTTGTTAGGTCCCTCAAATAGCTTCAAATTGGAGTTAGAATTGTTAGTTCAAATCCTTCTGTATAGATGGCGTAGCGATAATAAAAAATATGTTGTTCCCTGGAACGTGGAAATACAGGCCATCTGAAAGATCGTTAAATTTTGAGTAATTTTTGTAATATAAAGTTTTTCCCTATTTTTACTTGTTTTCAAGATATGTCGACTTCAATATGCAATGAATGATATACCAGGAAAATATATTATTTTATTTAAATCACACCGAGTCAAAATATTCTTTTAAAATATTGTTATAACGGCTTTATTCACATCATATACTAACTAACAAACAATAAATTAAAAAAAAAAAACAATGAAACAATGATCAACTACAGAAAAAAAAAATTAACAATGGTAAATCTTATAAGGGTCAGAGACGAACCGCATTTTATCAAATGTTATTAAAAAATGCAGTTATAGATGGTTCATGTCATTTGTTTAAAATAAAACAATGACAGATGACATATATTACTTTTCCAATAACTACAGTTTTTTTTTTAATTTAACTATACTAGTTACACGATTTACCATTGTACAATTTTTTTTCTGTAATTGATCATTTGTTTTTTTTATAATTAATGTTTGTTAGTTAGTATGTGGTGTGAATAAAGTCATTATAACAATATTTTAAAAGAATATTTTGTCTCAGTGTGATTTAAATAAAATAATAGATTTTCATGTTATATCATACAGTGTATATTGAAGTCGACATATTTCGAAAACAAGTAAATATAGGGAAAAACTTTATATTACTTTATATTACAAAAATTACTCAAAATTTAACGATCTTTCAGATGGACTGCATTTCCACATTCCAGGGATCAAAACATTTTTTAGTATCGCCACACCATCTATACAGAAAGATTTGAACTAACAGTTCTAACTACAATTTGAAGCTATTCGAAAGACCTAACAACCCCAGTTTCTGGAACTAAAATAAATTTCTTCATTTCGGAGATATTAACAGCGGGAGTGTTAAATGGCACACCCTGTATAGTTCGGATTATAAAGTGAGACTACATAATAAAAAGTAACCGCTAAAAAATGTAATTCCCCGGCAGTCTCGGGGAAACCCTTTTATGCGAGTCGGAACCTTTCTCGATTAGATCTTTTTAGTTAAAATATTGCTGTGCAAACATGTCGATATTTATACGACATATTTTACAATAATGTTTGGTTTTATTGTTATTTTTTGCCTTCTCAGTAACACATAAAATCTAATTCATATTATACGTATGTACATAAACATATTTACATATGTACATATTTACTATCCAGTAAATCCCTGCCCCACAAGGGGTGTCGGCAAACTTTGAAACTCTGTTATACAATATACGAGCAACAGATTAAAAACAAAATTGGCCATTAGTCTGATCACGGGAGATTTTGACACCAATCTCTTAGACTATAAGGTTTTCATCATATTTCGACATGTTTTACATACTCTCCAATTTTGCATACTTATTTCGTTAACACCTTGTATACCTTGTTTAAGTTTGTTTTCTGCTGTGCTGTAGACTTAGAGGGCTGTCTGTAACCTGATGCACCTTGTAATTGGTAACTCGGCCGCGTGGGCCTTTTCAATCTGACCACGCCCCCTTCCACCGTCAAATTACTCAAACTCGCCCTCAGAGTAATGTTACGGCTCTTCTCCACCGTGTAACTTTTCCCTTCGTCCCTCGACGATAAATATGGCGACAGGGAGTTCTCCTTCCTATTTATATACACTCTTGGGGCTTGGCTGGCTTACCCTGAAACCCTCCTCCAGGAGAGAGAGAGAGAGAGAGAGGATGTTGCTTGATACATTGAGCTTGCTCAAGGTCACAAATGGCTGCTTTCAGGCGAGTTTTACTGCATATTTTATTTACCCATGCTGATGCAAGCGGCCAATAGATCCTCAACACCCTCATCCTCAGATTCAGGATTGAACTCATCGGTATCATCAGAAACATTAGCTTCTATTTCCATGTCCTTTTATTCAATCTCGGCATCTTCCTCTTTCTGCTCCAGGTGTTCCCTGGTCGAATATTCCAGTTGTTTCGCTTTGAAAGGCTACACCTTGCTTGCCTCATTCGACTTCTAGTAATGGTTATTCGTCAAGCTGCTAAACTCGGCAGTAGTCGAGAACTGAGTTAGTAAACTTCTTGAATTTGGTAAAGTTATCTTCAAAAACACTTTGCTGAAAGTCTGCGTCTAGAGGCAATGCGAGGATCTAAGGGGATCTTCCTGGATTGCGCGGGTAAATCGTGTATAGAGTGTTGCTCGATACTGTCCAAGTACGCTAATGAAATTGACCTCGAAAACATCAGGCATTTCTTCGCTGTAATTCACTATTTTTGCACAAAAATTTATCAAAATAGAAAAAGGTAAGGTTTAGTCGCAGAATGAAAATTTGCTTTTTGAGACAAAAAAAATGCTAGTTACTTTTTCTAAATTCCCCAATAAAAAAAGAGGCTATACTTTACACAGGAAGTTACCCATATAGAGTTCCAGTTCTATTGTTAAAATGGTTTGAATTGTACGTTTAAGAACATTTCAATCTATGGGTTCCATTTGAATTAAAATATCTTAATATGAATGTTTTCATATTCTTGCTATAAATGTCAGCATATAAAATTTCTATCCATCTTGTAAGTGATTTTAAATTTAAAACCACATTTTTTTTAGAATAATCTATAAAAGGCTGATTATGTCCAAATAAAAGTCTTTAAATTGTCGATTGAAATAATCTTATAGATGAATAGTTTTTCCCTTATTCACAGTCGCAGAGATGCAGGGGCAATTGATAGTTTTTTTTCTCTTTAAAAAATTCTCTGTTACATCTTTGGAAGAGTAATTCATTTTTTGAAAAGAAAAACTGCAAAAATGGTATAATTACAATAATCTGCACCATTTCTGATCAATTATTTTGGAGTTATTTAAAGAAATGTCTTTACCTTCCGGTAATTTTTAAATGTATTTAGACCTTTATCCCTAAGAAACTCTGCTTAAAATAACATTTTTCGTCTCCTGTAGTACTTTGGCACTATATTTCAGAAACATCCTGTATAAACAAGGTACAGGTACAAATATCACTAACCTAACAAAATGGTGCAACTCACAACTTTTAACTTATTTTTTTCAGGTTGTGTTAAAAAAATTAGAACTCTGCTTTGTCCATACTGTTAATTTAGGGCTAAATTGAAATTTGCTGTAAAGGTTCATTTCTATATGAACTTGCAGTTAGTAGGAAAAAAACTTCAATTAATCATCACTTTTATTATTCGGCTTGTGGATGTTATATTGATACAAAGTGTATAATATGTACACATTATAGAACAGAAAATCTCATATACATTTTGCGTAGAAAGATTAATAGTACGGTTTGACAGATATAATGTGTAACATACGTATAACAAAATCATTTAAAGGGTTAATAAGGTGATATTACATGTGATTTACCTTAAAAAGTATTCACATTCCATTACCATCTTAGTTTGAACTACGGGAGTGATAAGATGTAGTACATGTAGTAGTGTAGTGTAGTATTACAGAAATCATAATATCAACCTGTTGCAAAAAAATATTTACTTTCGTAAAATGGAAAATTATACAGATTTTTAAACGTTACAAACTGATGATTATTTTGAATGCACAATTCAGAAAATATTGTAAAGTTTTTGAGCTGTGGTAGTTACAGGTTCCATGAAAAACCATGGACCGTTCTGAAAATTGAGTGGTTACTAGAATGAGTCCAGTTTTCTTTCATATTGAGACTATTTTTAAAATTCTTGATTTGACATGAAATAGGAGTGGCTATTATAAGAAAAAAAAACTATGGCCTTTTTCTTTCGGTTTTTGAAGTACAGGGTGTATGTTTTTTTTTTAATTTTCTTAAAATTGTTATTTAAAAAATTTTTAATTTCGATACTAATAAATTTTTAACAAATTTGATCTTTTTAATAAACAGGGTTTTATAAAAAAGGAAAACAATTCTTTGGAGGAATATAATGGGCCTTTCCTTATTTCATCTTTCAATCTTTTTAAGATACGGGGTGTCAAAGTTAAATTTTTTTAACTTTATCACTCAATAACACCCACATCTTTTGTCCAATTTTGTTAAAAAAAACAAAGTATGTATGAAAGAAAGGAGGTTATAGTAGTCATTTAGCCGCAGTGTTGCCAGACGTCCTGATTTTTAACCCAAAATTAAATATCCCGCGCGGGACAGGCTCAGTCCCGCTTTTCCTGATGTGGTCGTTTAATTTTTTTTAAATCTTGTAAAATTTTAATGTAAGGCTTAGTTTTGGAGATATGGAAACTTTGAATATACGAATGGAATATGTTTGTTAGGCTCAGTATTATTTAAAAAATGTGTTGAAAAATGAACTCTTCGAATTAAAATCAAAATCGGGATTTTAACTTACGTTTCATTCTTGGAACATAGAAAATAAAAGAAATCAATGTTAAAAATTAAAAGTTGAGAATATTTAGCACTATTAGCTTTATTGAGAGAGAATTAAATTGGCAAATGTATAATCTTGGCTATCTGCCATTTGTTTTCACAATAATGTCAAATTAAAAGTACAATTTTTTTTTAATATTTTGAATTGATGGTCGCTAAAGATATTTTTAGCTTAAAAATAAGAATCGATATCACATATTCAAAGAAATTGCAATATCTTGTCCACCGAGCATTAAATTAGTTTTACAAAAGTGAAAAAAATATAAGATGGAAACTGAGTCACAGACGTATGCAAAAGTAGGTTGATGAGCACAATCCTCTTTCCTACACTTGCATTTTGATTTTTTTATCAAAATTACAATAATGTGCCCCAGCATAACATAAGATAAAAGTCTATGTATTGACAAAAACCTTTTTTTAAATTATAATTTTGACACCCTGAAATGTTATAAAATTATTTTCACCTACAGAATCTTTGGTTAAAGGCTTGACCAATTTTTTTGTTATTAGGTACTAAATAAAATTATATAAAATGTGAAAAAAACAATTTACAATATTTTGTAAATTGCTTATGTGGTTTTCCTTCAGATGTACCTAATGTTTTGTCATATATTTACGAGTATTTATACTATGTAGAAGTAGCAGCGGTACAAGTTATGGTAAATGATCCATAAGATTTCACATTAACATAAATTGTGTAAATATTTATAAATAAATATTTTTAAATTTGTTTAAATATTTAAAATCCAATAAAAATACTTTCTCAACAGTTATTTTTTTGATTTATGTGCCTGAGAAAAGTTTAACAATTTAAACAGGTCCAATATAAAAATTAATGTTTGCTTATTTTTTTAAGTTCAAAATCTGTTTAATTTTCCTATTTTTATTAAACATATATTCAATGGTCAAATATTTTGTGAATTTTTAACTGTAATTCTTTTTTCTACTTGAATTTGCTGCCTTTTAAGTATGTATTATACAGTGTCTTCCTAAATGCTCGAGTTCTAATTTGATTTTCTAAAGTTAGTGTCAGAAATTTTCAAGAAAAAAATCACATAATTTTTCTATTTGTTGTTTGTACAATTTAGTACTTTTTACCAGATTTTCTGTGCATTTCTATGAACTAATTAATATTAAGTTGAAAAAAAATTGTTCTCGTCAGATTTAAAAAATAAAAAATTCACGAATTTTTTTGAGCGTTAGCTTGGATCCACCATTTTGAATATTGCAAATCTGATTGCTGATTCGTAATCAGCGACCTCGAAAACCCCTGTATACCCAATTTGGTCGAATTTGGTTCAATTTCAAAAATTTTGTGCGCTATATTGGATCCGCCATCTTGAATTTTGAAATTCTGACTTCAGTTTTATAATCACCCCAAAAACTTAAGTAACCACCTTGACCTTGATGATAGGCCATCTAAAAAACAGTGAATCTTAAAGGTTTAAAGTGATATGCTCAATACATAAGATCACGAATATTATGGCATGCATCACTCATATTTCCAAAACCTAAACTGAACTCGTCTTGGAACTTTCTCAGTAACACGTTCTAATGATATACGATAACTTGGCGCAAAATTTTTTAACGAATTACGAGTTTGCCAAAATGGGCGATTTTTGAAATCACTCTTTGGTTGCCTAATACGAGCCCTAACACATAAATGTTCGGACACATCAGTTATTTCAATAAATCACTCTCGAAAAACGTATAAACTAACTTTTATTTTTCTCACTTTAATTTGTGATTGCAATGCATGTATCTATTTTTATAAACCATAAATAGTTTTGATTTTGGTAAATATATAAGCAGGTCACATAAGCAAATTCTGAAATATGCAAATAATACGTGACACATTAATGTTCGGACACGTTATAATTTTTAGATGTAAGTTAACAACTAATACGTAGTCACGTCACCTTTCGACTTAATAACTGTTTCGATTCGTTTAGGCATTGATTTGACTTATGATAGACATATTTCTGGTGTAAGATGTTCCCATATATCAGTGATTTTATTTTTTAAATCGGAAACGGTTCGTTGTGGATCATTTCTTAACCGTTGTTTCATTTTATGCCATATATTTTCAATAATATTAAGGTCTGGACTACTTGCGGGCCATGAAAGAACTTTTAGATTGTTTTCTGCAAACCATTTTTTGTAGATTTGGCCGTATGGCATGACGCACCATCTTGCTGGAAAATATAGTCTCCTTGAGGATACAAAGATAATGCACTCGGCAAAAGACTTTCTCGCAAAATTTGTTGATATTTATCGGCGTTTATAATTCCATCCACTTGAAACTCATCCCCAAATCATTATACCTTGTGGAAATTTTACGGTTCGCTTAATGCAATCTTTATGGAATGCTTCTGATTTAGATCTGATTACTCGTTTCCGGTAATCCCCGACACAGACGTCAAATTTTGACTCGTCAGAAAATATGACATTGGACCAATCGTCTACAGTCCAAGAATGTTTTGATTTTGCCCATATCAGCAGATTTTTTTTTTGTTTTTCTGTAAGAAGAGGTTTTTCTTTGGCCTAAAATCACTCATACTTTAATTTTAATTGACTTTAATAACATAGAAGCACAACTTACTTTATAAAATCCTAAACCAGACTTGAGAATCCACCTTCTACATGTTTCCCGTGAAATATTTAGTCCTGTTTGACCATTCCATTCTGCAGTTATTTCACGCACAGTTTCTCTTCGCGATTCTTTGCACAGTTTTACAAGTTTCCTTTGAGATCTTGATGTTATTTTAACCGGTCTACCACTCGATTGCCCACGACTATCAGTTTTTCCTGTTTCTTCATAAAGCTTAATTATACTAAAAACTGTTGATTTTGGCAAACTTAGCTCTTTCGCTATCTTACGAATGCTATTGTTGTCAAGATACTTTTTAACAATTAAATCTCGAATTTTTGTATTTGTTGCTGTACCTCGTGCCATTTTCACCATAACTGTGCGTTATTAGCAACAGTAAATGTGAGTCGACAATGATTCTATACATTTTGTTTTCAAAGCCTACTGTTTGATTGTGTATTTTTAGACATTGCCGAGATGTCCGAACATTAATGTGTCACTTATTATTTGCATATTTCAAAATTTGCTTATGTGACCTGCTTATATATTTACCAAAATCAAAACTATTTATGGTTTATAGAAATAGATACATGCATTGTAATCACAAATTAAAGTGAGAAAAATAAAAGTTAGTTTATACGTTTTTCGAGAGTGATTTATTGAAATAACTGACGTGTCCGAACATTTATGTGTTAGGGCTCGTAGTCGCCATCACGTGGGACTCGGGTATTTATAAAGACACTGTACATCATAAATAAACAAGGTAAAAGCAGTAAATAATAAAGTTGATTTTCAATCTCTTTACTTTTCAAACAGATATGCAGGGTACTATTCTGATTTTTTACAAGCTGATTTTGAAATCATCAATCCTAATACGATCAAGGAACAATTCCGATGGTTTCTCACGTTTGGCAAAAAAAGACTCGTTTTGTTAATTGTTGTAATTTTGGGATAAATTTTATTTTTCCAGTACATTTTCCATTAAAAATTTTACAAACTTTCATCATCGTTATAATCAAAAATTAAACGGAAGAATAAATTAGTTGTGTTCTACTTTCGCATCTTCTCAATGTCACAGATTTGTATGTTTTGACCAATGCAACAACCAGTGGAGGATATTTTATATTTTCATTTAGTAAATAAGAATTGAGAATATAAACATGGGATGTACATAAATTAATTAAATATTTCACAATCACTCAATCTAAATTATCATATTGATTATTTTTATGAGGATTTTACATTCAAAACAATTCTGAGGTATATTCCGTTTATACATTTACTTAACTACTTCATATGGCTTTTTGAAATTTCGATTAATCAAAATTATCCAAAGTGAAAAATAAATTTGTTAAGAGGACATTAAATAATCAAATTGTGAGATCATTGCTTTTCTAGCAAGTACTGTTACTGAAGAAAAGCTTTTACTTATTTAAATACTTGTCCTCAACCTCACAAAAATTGTTTTGTATTACCTCCATAATGCCTTTTAAATAAATGTACAGGTGATTAAATTTAAAAAATATATATACAATTATCTAGTTTTCCTTTATGTCCTATAAGTATTAAACATTAACTTATGATAATATTATGGAAATGGACATGTCCCACATATTTTTATAAGCAACTTTATTAATTAATTTCTTATTAATTTTTTATAATTACTTAGGGAGAATTCTGGTCCGGTATAAACTAATACTGGGTGATATGTCGGTCTCTGTGAATCAAAATTGGCACTTCTGATGATTATTTAAATATTTGGTTTGGTAATTACTTTTAAAATTTTGGTTTAATTGTACCCTTTATTGGACCACTGCATATAGGTGACTGTCCATGGTTTAGTAGCAAACTACAACTGTTAAACTATCAAAAATAATATAAAATCCTTATTTTTTACATTGCACTAAGATTTAAAATAAGACAGTATATTAATAAATATATTGGGACATCCCCATTGCAAGAGTAAAACCTTATGTGTTGCAAATATTAAGAAAAATAAATTAATAAGATTTCATTTTGTTAAAATTATGATTTTTGACTTAAATAAAAAAATATATGAACAGAACATGCTTAATCTTAAACTATAATATTCACACCATTGTATTTATACATTTTTATTCAATATTCTTGTCTTTTTTTGAGTCGAGTTTCTTTTTGTATTTTTATGAGTATACTCCACAAACTATCTCTAATGAATCCCCTAATTCTAAAAATATATTTTTATACTTAGAAGCAAAACTGAATCCCTGACGATATCCATTAGCCATTTCTCACCAACACAATGTAACACATAAGATGTTACTATACAATAAATTATATAGTATACAATACTATAATGATTAAAATCAATGTATTTACTTTTCTCTATAGTGAACAAGCCAGGCAGTTATGTCTCTTTTTCTTTTTTTTATCATTTTTAGATAAGAATATCTACTTTTTTTCACAACAACCGACAACCGTTATTGTAACCTTGTTTTATCTTTTTTTTTTTGCTAGATTTAACTATACTTTAAATAAAATGTATAAGTTTAGGCAATTACATTATTAAGAAGCTTTTGCACAAATGAAATTATTTTGGGGTTGCCAGTACCTGTTTTTCAGAATGAGGTAGGTGGCGGAGAGCCTCTGTCACGCATTTTTCGACTCGCTTTCATAAGGTCTACCATCTCCATATACGGTCAAAGACGCTATGTAATGATTTGGCATGACCTGAAACAAGAGCCATTTTGTAATCGGCCCACTAACATACCCAAGTTAGCCAACAATCAGCCAACAACATTCGCTCTAGCAGGTTTGAGTATTTGAAACCAGTAACTGTTGCTATAATGGCATTTACATAAGCTTATTGTAGAACGTGATAAATGTCAAATAGTAACACATACAAAAATTTAAAAATTTCTGCATCTCAGTTTTAATTTCAGTTATCAAACTGTTAAGTAGTCTTTCCGAAGTCGGTTGAACGTTGAACATGTATAAAAACGCTTAGCAATAAAATTTAACGAGTTTCATAAGCGTCTCTAAAAAAGTTTTCTGCTAAAGGTAAAAAATAATAATTTGTGTAATAATATAATGTGTAGAAAATTTCTATTATATGTTCATTTGACCAACAACATATTTTAACTATTTATGCCCTCAAACAATTTTATTATATTAAGGGTAATTTTCATTTTGTTCCGTTTCAAAAGGTCTCCAAAATGCCATGTTGTAATAATATTAGTAAACAAAATATCCCTTTTATTTCTCCCTTTCAGAATTATTGTAATATCAATGATTAATAGAAGGTGCTTATAATAAATTAAAATTACCAGAATTACACCAAATTCCGCATTGCTGCACTGCACTGCTAGGCAATTTGTCAACCACTTGTCAACAACTGAGATTTATTGCCCAGTCGTCCAATGCAGCTGTGTTTGTATTTCGTTTGCCCGCGCGCGCATTCTTCAACATTTCTACAACCTCCACGTTTAGTTCGACCAGATCTGTATGTAGGTATGGCTAAATAAATATGGGAATAGTTTTTCAAATATTTCAATTGCTGCGTCAGCGACCGAACTTGGTACATACTGCCTACCTCTTGGTTCTTCAATTGAGATCGGAAAGACTATATCTTGATTTAAATTGAATAAATGCGTTCTGTCAAAAAAGTATCCGGTATATGTCATTTCAAAATTCCGTAAAAAGTATTTTTAATCGATGAAAGATTTGAAGTTCATACAGCGTTTAAAAAGTGCTTTGACGATTGGGTTGTCGGTGGAAAAAGTGTATTGCTTCAAATGGACCATATTTTGAAGGAGACATAATAAATTTTTATAATTAATTAAATATATTGTATTTTATTGACAAATTCCGGATACTTTTTTGATAGAATGTACTATTCAGTCATAAAGTACAGACGACAACCTTTTTACATAATTTGTAAGTAGTAATACCAAAATTTATTGCAAAAGTTCATATTTTAAATTTGAAAGTTGGTGTTTTTTATCTTACCTCAAACACGATGTCCTGATATCCGTAACACAGTGTACTCCCGAATGGATTTGTGGTGTTCGTGGAACTTGCTCTGTTCAGAACTACTGGCCTTTCACTTGGTGTTAATTTCTTGCATATGTCGTCCCAATGGCTATATGCTGTTATGTCCGTTCCGTCTAAGGATAGATCAAATTCACATCTCATGTACATGTTGAAGTTGTAGTGTCCTGGATAGTTGGTGTGCAATACGATTTTTTTTGCATAATGAGCTCGAGCGTCAAACAAAATGTCCTACACAAATAATACAATACATAGTGGCAGTGATGTATACAGGGTGTAACTAGGGTACTTGGACAAATGGTAATGGCAGATCCTATGTCCCAAGCCAACTTTTAAGTTACAAAAAATAGTTGAAAGGAGCTATGTAAATATATGTTTTTTACATTTGTAGTGAATGCGATTACTTGAAAATAATTTAATGTTTTGACACTTTTAGCACTACCTGGTTTAACATTTATAACAGAAAAAGGTGCAACATGAAGCAAGAGTAGATTTTTGTAGTCTTTAGTATTCGTCCTAAACCAAATTTGAGACAATTTTTTCCTGTGGACCAAGGGTTGTTTTTGAGATAAGGGGTGTAAATCAAATTTTAGCCGTATGATTACTGAAACAACACTGAAATTTTAGGTGGGGTCCAGATACTTTTGAAAATTTTTAACAAGGTCCAGAAAAAAAATTAGTATTACTAATTTTTTTATTTATTTGCACTCAAATTTAATCTGCTTACTAACCATTAAGAACTCAAATCAGTAACACAATTGTAAAATACTAGAAAAAATGATGTGTTGCACTCAAACGTAAAAAAAATATTTTAAATAATTTGAGTAATTTATTCTTTCAAAAAAGAAAAGTACTTACTAAACCCAGAGTGAAGTAGTTAAAAAAGTAGTCACTCCTCGTCGCCGCTATTTTGCGGTGAGCATTGGGACTGTGTATCCTCATTTTATCCTCGCTTTTGTAAAATACCCTGGAAGGGGACCCTAGAGCTGACGCTACGTCCTGGGCAGAATGACCCAGAAGAACTTCCCGTTCAAACTGTACTTTCATTGAATCTACTAACCGACTATTTGTACCTAAAATCATATTACAAATTTGTACTTTGTATATGCTTACTCTCTCATAGTTTACCTGCTAAAAGGTGTAATCTTAAACCCTTGGTATAAGAGTCTCCCCTCAAGATCTCTGCCTTTTGCAAGTATAACTGACCATAATAACACGATAGGGGTAATTCTGGGGCATACGCTTGATCTACGTTCGACCCGCAGTAAATTGCTAGCCTGGAGACTAAAGGAGAATTTCCGGGAGGGAACTGAAGGGATCCCAAGTTATGTGTACTTCCACTTTGAAACTTAGATTCAACGGGAAAGTAAAAGGAGAGTCCCCGAAAGTTTAACATGAATAATTGTTTTTCAGAATCGTAAACCCCAGGATGTGTGGCTCCAAAGGAATGCTCTATTTGCTCTATTGAAGGTAATACCTCAGGTGAATTGAATATCAAACCACTAAAGCAACATTTTTAAAATTAATTAAAAGCTAGTGTTAATTTTAGACAATAGAGTCATTTCCTTAAGTCAAATTCTTCAAAATAAAATAAGTGTTAAATATTTGAAGCAAATACATATATGAAAAGAAAGGACCCTATTTATCTTTTTTAATCAAAACCTACCAGTATTTTAACTTGACTAACTTCATGCAGAATATTTCAATAATTTTCAGTCGTTGTGATATTGGATCAAAGAAAAGTCTGATTCCATCTTGAGGTAAATTTATGACTAAGTCTACTTCTAATGGTTTCTATAAAAAAAAATGAGTCAGCGAATCATAAATGTTTGCACCAAAATCTTACTCACAGTGTCACTATAGAGAACTTGAACACCTTTGATGACTCCTACTTGAGATTGTATTATAGCTACAGCTTGCGAAAAATGCATTCCTGCAGGATGTACAGTAAATAATTATGTTATACATGGAATACAGTGTTGTATGATACATAGGACAACTTAGTAAAAATATTATTTATATCAAATTGGTGAAACCTCTGCCTACCTACTAGTCTCTCCAAGATATTTTCTATAAATTCGTTTTTTTTAAGCAAAATATTTGTTTAAAAAAATAATATATTTATTTTCAGACCATTGCATAACATTATCTTTTCTAAAATAGTATTTGTAATTTATATCTGTAAGCTTCTGTTTTTTTTTTTCAATTTGAAATAAAATTCAATGAGGATGTTAAGTATAATAAATAACAACAAATTTGTCATTTTGGAGTTAGAAAAGCATTTTTTATTTGAACACCCTATATTCAGGAAGTAGTCGAGATTGCAACATAATTTTACACAACAAAATCGTATTTCTTTTAAGCCTCATAAATACATGAAAATTATATAAACATGGAAATTTTTCATTTTTATATAGTTTAGGATAATGCACTGCATACATGCATACGATAAATTATAATTAAAATCTTGGAAATAAACGTCAAACAATACAACTGACACTTAGAATTAAGTATACATAGTGAACCACAAAATCACACAATCACAAAAATTTGTCATAAAAATCGACTACCATATATGAATAAATATAAAATTTCCAAGTGACATACCCACAACAAACTCCCATTGTTCACAGCCTAAAGAACGTTCAGGTACCACTTCAAGAGTTAACATTTTGGTTTTAAGACGAATGGATCAAAGTCGATAGGGCGTCATATACAATCGAGGATTTTAACTACGTTTGTTTACTCTACAAGTCTTTGTCCAAAATAAAACACAGCTGTCTAATGAACAGCTGATTATTTCTGGTGTTGCCAACATCTGTTACCAGTTACCAGTGTACCACAGAACACAGATAGAGCAAAATATTTGTAAGTCTATGATCTGCGATGTATAAATATAAATCAAGTTTTCGTGTTTTTGATAATGAGGCAACCAGATATATAAGCTTGAGAAGTTTTAATGGATTACTGAATAACCAATTACTGGCAATTTAACTCTGAATATATTTAGATTTAAAATGTTTTTAGTTCATGCAGGATTATATGTAATAAAAAATCAATTAAAGCATTAGACTGGATCTAGATCATTTAAATTAAATTTTAATGGAAAATTAGCGTTTCTAAATGTTGTTTTATTAAAATTATGCTGTTGGAGAGGAAAAAAAAACAGAAATTGTGTGTAATATTTTTTTTATTATACAAAAAGTACAAAATAGATAGGTAACAAAAAGGAAAGTTAAAGTATATCTATAAAAATAATTACTTCATTATTTTTAAAACAATGTATATTAGCGCTACATATTGCACCAAATTTGGTTTTAAATTAATATTTAATCACTACTGCTTACAAAAATATAGATATAGCATAACAGATGGTATTTTTAAAGATAGTTTACATAGTAATAATTTTATGAAGTAGGTAGGTATATAACTGAGGGATGTCTTGAAACCTGATAAGTGATAGTAATACTGAAAAGAAGGGGAACCAAGTAGAATTGCAGCCAAGGACAATATAAACAGATCAAATACAAAAATATATAACGGCACCATTGGCACCAAGTAGGTATATTCAATTTGTCAAAAATTGGACAAACTTGTTAGACATATACAATCACATTTGTGATTAAGAGCAATATTTACTAATAAATAATACTATATACTTTTATCTTTGCTCATTACTCCCATCAGCCATTCTACATCAATAATGGCAATCTATACTCTTGAATATTCAATAGGTACTGTCATTCCACAGCGTAGGCGGGTATAGAATTGATTGAGTATAGGATTTACACGTAGGAATGATCGTCTTTTATCTCTCTACTCCTTCTGCAATTGAACCGTCCATAGTTTACATCCAGCATAGGTTTTGCCATTGGAATTGATTCTGAGAACTTGTACTGTTCTGCTTTTTTCTTGCACATACCACATCTGTAAATTTCAGAACTATTAATCACCATAACCAATAGGTACTTTTTAACAAATAAGTACTCTATTTTAACACTTTTGTATTTGTTTTAAAACACAAATTCAATTTTTTTGAAACTTTCTTTTGTAATTTGTAATAGTATTAGTAATTTTATTGTCTCAAGTTATCAATTTAGATATATCACATTCAGAAAATACGATCGTTTTTTGAGTATGCAAAAAACTCGTCAATTTTTCCTAAGTAAAAAGAAAACAGCAGCAGTCTCAGTAGGCTGTTTCTGCCGGTGCTGTTGCTGGTTACTCGTCGTCAGTTGTTATTAAAACTTGAGCTCTATATTTTTAAAATTACTGCATGAAAAACATTGTTTTATTGATGTATTTTATGTGTTAACAGTTTGATGTGTATTATCGGTGTTGTTTTCGATTTTTTAAACTTTGATATTAGTGCATTTGCTGTTTTGGTTTAAGATGTAGTAGTGACTACATTCAAGAAGTTTGTTCTGAAGTATGGAATTATGGGTAAGTCGATTATAGAAATAATTGTAATTACTTGTAAATATTTATCGCCAATTTCTCTTAATTGATGTTAAAAAGATTAAAAGAATATTTTTTATGACATACTTGGCTTTGTCCATTGGACGTTTAGACTGCCTAGTAGATACGCAGATTGTGAGGACATACAAATAATTAAGATTAATCATTTGATAGTTAATCAATTAATCATGTCATAAAATTGGTACGAGTATTGAAAATACTATGTAGAATAACACTGATAATAATAAATATGTATAATCCACCTGAACTTCTAGAAAGCTATTTGTATTTTGTTAAAATTTAATTTGTTGAATACAAGAAAATTCATTTTTTTTAATATCAAGATCATTTTCAACGCATTTATTTTTTTTGTTAGTCAAAGAGACCCGTGAAAATCTTGTATTCATCGACTAGTTTACTATAGGTACTCTTTCTTTATGTAATTTCTGAAGGTATTCATGATTTAATTTTTGATAAAAATGAATACAAATCTGGTCAGGGAACTGAAAAATATTAATTTTAGATTTTGATCACTCTTACTTTGTTGAAATAATTCCTTAAGAACGTACCTACTGAAGGACCTATCTAATTTTACTTTTTTAAAGTGTTATCGACCCTCAAAATTTTTTTTTATTTCATTATTTTAAGTTAACTCCGACAATTGTAAAGAAATTCCAACGAAATTTAATATAGCGTGGTTTTTGGGGTGGCCCAATATGAATATCAGCTTATTTTTTTATCTAATACATAAAGGTTGGGAATAACACCTCAAACAGTCTTATTTTTATCTACAATTTTTTTTTGTTGGCAGATGTTTTGAGGAAACTCAGGATCCTAAAAAAAATCACTTTATTTACTTAAAAAAATGAGTAAGTACTCTTTAAATTTGCAGTTTTCAGAGTAACTTGGTCTAGGTATATTGTAAAAAAGATATGTATTTAAAAATATAGCAAAAAATTGAAGTCTAATTTTATTGATGATTGCAATAAATCAATTGCAATCCACTTTTCTCTTGAACAGTGCATTTTACAGATATGTATGCCTTTTTCAATATAAATAAATTTACTTTTTAAAAAGTTATTGCCAGGGCCCCTGATTTTTACATTAAAAATAGTTTTTTCTTATCTCTTACATAAAAATTTAGACTATCTCCAAAACCATACATAATATTTAATTATAAAAAGTGTGATTGTATAGCCAATTAAAAAACACACATTAAAAAAAAATTTCCTACGCCCTTTTGGAGCCGAGTTAGACTTTTTTTGTCAAAAAATCACAGCACCTCTGTAAAAATCAAAAGGGCCCCTGGCAATAAATCAAAATTCCATTTAAATACAGAGCCAAGTTAGGTTTTAAAAAATCGACTTTCTAAACCCGTTTTTGTTAATAACTTTCGGTGAAACCGAAGGTTAAAGTTGTTTATGCATTTTTGCCCTTGACGCGATAAATAAATAATAGAATTTTTAGGCCAGTCATTATAGTTTTTTTTCGGGAAAAAAATACTATTAGAAGTTTCTCTGCGGAATATTGTTCAGAAACGTGTTATAAACAAAATATCAAAAAATCAACTCGAGACTAGTTGGAAAACTTTGTTAAAGCGATGGTCAAAGTTATGGAAAAGTGGTATTTTGATGTTTTGGAAGTTTATTATACAAAAAAGGTAGGTATTAAATAAATCTGTAAAATAAGACAAGTCCGATTAAAATTCGGTAATTTGTTTATGCGCAAGAGCTCAAAAATGGTCGAAAATGTCCGCTTTTTTCAATTGCTAATAATTAATACAATTTTCATCGCAGACACTTGTAATTCAGAATTTTTTAGGCTTTTTGCACCCTTAATAAGTGGTAAAAATTTCAGCCCGAAAGCTTCATTAGCTTGGCGTTGGCGGAATTTGTTCTCTAAGAAGATGCTATTTTCAATTCATTTTTCCCAAGCTCACAGGCGTTGTAGAGTTTCGATCATTAGTTGTTTTTGTACCTAAATAGTTGTATTGGCATATGCATTTACTGATAATTTAATTTTTCTAATTTAATTTGTTTAAAAATGACTGAAATAATGTTAATATTTATTAAATTGTTAAGGGCGCATGCTCCGCCTCGTTCTCCCCACTCGTTCGCTAGACCAAGTAATAGAACGCATCGCCGCTATCTTCTTTTTCGCAATGAAATAGTTGAATTCACCTTAATGTTAATGTAGGACATGAAAATATAGCTCTTAATGTATACTCTCTCCAAATTTCGGTTCTTAATATTAATAATTAAGGTCACTGCGATTAAATTAAAAAAAAAATATCTCAGCTTCTAATCAACTTACAACAACGATTTTTTTTTTAAATTCGAAGAAAACTAAAGTATAGAGGTTACTATTTTATTTTATAATAATTACCTATCTTAACAATTTAATAAATATTAACATTTTTTCAGTCATTTTTAAACAAATTAAATTTGAAAAATTAAATTCTCAGTAAATGCATATGTCAATACAACTATTTAGGTACAAAAACAACTAATGATCGAAACTCTACAACGCGTATGAGCTTGGGAAAAGTGAATTGAAAATAGCATCTTCATAGATAACAAATGCCGCCAACGCCAAACCAATTAAGCTTTCGCGCTGAAATTTTTACCACTTACTAAGGGTGTAAAAAGCCTAAAAAATCTTGAATTACAAGTGTCTGCCATGAAAATTGCATTAATTATTAGCAATTGAAAAAAAACTACCATTTTCGACAATTTTTGAGCTCTTGCGCATAAACAAATTATCGGAATTTAATCGGACTTGTCTCATTTTATAGGCTTATTTAATACCTACCTTTTTTGTATAAACTTTTTTTCGCTATGAATAATAGTTTTTGTACGTGAGTCAAAAAACCACTTTTCCATAACTTTGACCATTGTTTAAACAAAGTTTCCCAACTAGCCTCGAGTTGATTTTTTGATATTTTGTTTATAACAGGTTTCTGAACAATATTGCGCAGATAAACTTTTCCTGAAACAGGCTCTTTCATGTCTATAATGACTGAGCTATTTACAAAATCTATTGGGCCCACAGCACAGTTTTGAAGAACAATAAAACTCACAACTTTTTGGCACATTTATAAAATTCCAACAAATAACAACCAAGTTATGGATAATTTTTAAAAAAATGCTGTTTTCCACGTTTTTTTTATGTTGTTTGCAATAACTTTTAAACAATGTATCCGATTTTAATCTATCAGGAGGCATTTTGTATGTCTTTTTATTGCTCATATTTCGTCTGTTGAATACTTTTCTCTAAAATCGATAGTTTTTCCAATATATTGGAAAAACTGATTTTCGACACAAATTGTTAAAAAAAAAACAAATGGAAAAAATTGACTCTCGAGATGAGACACCTTTTCTACTGCCTCCCCCTGCGCACTTTAACAATAAAATAGCGGACGTCAATTCATCGATTTTTTTAGTCCATTTACTGCTATAGCATAGTGACGCGTCTATCAAGAAGCCTAAACTGTCGACGTGGCCACTAGCTCGGAAATTGTACCTTTAGAGTGTGGTTCATTCGCTTGTAGACACCCTGTATACTATGACTAGGGATTCTTAGTATTAATATGACTAATCGATTTAAGTTCCATTGCATATCGAAAAAACGCTTATAAATAAGATACGGGATGTTTAAATTCTCATTAATCAAATTATTACATCTTCAACGAAACTTCGGTAATACTACATCATCGAATTTAAGCTGAAATGAAGTTTGTCTCACCTGGATATCAACATACACAAATCCCTTCGGTACTGCGCCGTCATCAGGGCGTACAAATAGGGGTTGGCACAGGCGTTCAAGGGGTAGAAGAATACCAACAGTATTTTCGACCTCGTAACTCCAATTAGAGGGTATCCAGCTAGGGCTGTTAGTCCGAAAAATGCGATCGGTGAGTAAGTGGCGAAATCGGTGAAAATTAAAAGAGCCATTTTCTTGGCTATCGTCATCTCTCCTTTGGTACTAGAGTGGCGAGTTTCGTATCCCAAGCTCATGTAAATTTGGATGTAGCAGAACACGATCAGAGCGAAGGCTATACCATTCAGGAAGATGACGCCGTATAAGTAGATTTTGTCTATCATTTTGTTAGCTTCCATCGGAAGGCAAATGCTGAAAAAAATGGTGATTGTGTCGATATATTTGTTTAATAATTGGCTATTATTAAAAAAAAAATGTTTTTGTATACTGTTACGATGGCCGGATATGAAAAAAACAATTTATAGGTACGGACCGACACAAATAAGTTTGCGTCTGAAATAGCTCCGCCCACAAATGCGCGCTGGATACGGTAGCCACTATCTCAAATTGCAGTGCCTATGTCTTATTTCTTCTAACCCAATCCGTTCTTTCTCAATCTAGCGCAGATCTGTGTAAACGCAAACTCATTTGTGACGATCTATATGTTATTTATTTATTTATTTTTTTGTGAATTTGATCTCAAAGTGGTAACACTTTGCTAATGCCGTATAAATGACCGTTCTGGCACTTTTAGAGGATCCTACTGTTTCTTTACCATCATAAAGTATTATTTTAATGACATTTTTTTGATACAAGCACGGACAGTATAGCGATTTCGTTTATGAAAAAAGTATGGCATTAGTAATCGATAAAAGTGGTTAAATGCAGGATAATGACTATATAACTTTTCGGAAATATATGTATAAAATCAATCATTTCATTTTTGGTATGAAAATAAATAATATGAAACTTTGAACACAACATTCCAACATTCTTAAGAAATTTCGAGATAATCAAACTTTAAACTCTATTTACTTATTACATACTCTAATGTTTGCTCTAAATAATTAAAAACCAGCATTCAACTTTTTTGTAATGATTGTATTTAAAAATAAGGGAAAATGGTGTGTGGAAATATTTTTTTACATGACTCTAAATACAGGGTGTCCGCAAATTTCACCAACAACGTTTGACTTCATATTCACGACGATGCGATCTACGAAAAAAAGTTAAATAATAGTACATTATACACCACGGTAGAGCCATTATAGCTGAGGCACCAAGATTAAAATACCGAGCCGCAGGCGAGGGATTTTTAGGTGCCGAAGCTATAATAGCATTCTTCTCTACCGTGGTTTATATACAGGGTAGCCCATCGAAAACGTACCGCAAGGCATTACAGGGTAGTAAAGAACTTTTCGGCAAAATCCAAAAACCGGTCAAATTTGTTTCTGAGGTGGACAACTTTTGGCTCAAAAAGCATACCAAAATCTTCAACCCCCTAAGTGGGGGTGCTATCCCCTAAATTTTTTCAAATGGGAATGGGGGTCAAGGGGGGGGGGGTCATTAGAGAGGGCTTTTAATTCTCTATACATCGATTCTTACTTTTTGAAAATCGATTCATTATTTTAGAAAATATGCAGCTTTGAAAATACGAACAATATTTTTGACGAGAAATGCGAAAATCGATTTAATTTTACTTCAAAACTTACGGTATTAGTCAAGTAAATGCTGAAAATGTTGTCCGCCAACTTGCATACAATGATACAGGTTGTCTTCAAACCGTTGTCGAACATTCTGGAGCACTTGCGGTGTTACTTCGCGACATACATTAATGATTCGTCCTCGCAGATCTTCCAAGGTATCAGGTGGAGTGCTGTAAACTTTGCTTTTAATGTGCCCCCAGAGAAAGAAATCTAAAGGATTTAAGTCGGGTGACCGAGGGGGCCACTCAATTGCACCTCTTCGTCCTATCCAGCGTCCTGGAAACGTCTCATTTAGGTAATTGCGCACATTGAGCGAGTAATGTGGAGGAGCTCCGTCTTGCTGGAAAATCAGTTCGTGTTCATTGTAAGCAGGGTCGTCCTCTATGATATTTGTTAGAGCTGGGTCGATGACATTTTGTAGTAAATCCAAGTACATATCGCCTGTCAAATTTCCAGGAAGGAAAAAAGGACCTACAATGGAATTTCCAAAAATACCTGCCCATACATTCAACTTCTGGGGGTGTTGGGAGTGTGTCTCATGGAAAATCCTTGGATTGGTATCAGCCCAGTAACGACAATTATGGCGATTCACTAAACCATTCAAGAAGAACGTACACTCGTCCGAAAAACACACATTAAAGAGGAAATTATCGTTTATCGCTCGTTCAGTCATTATTTCGCAAAATTGCAAACGACGATCAAAATCGTCTTCATTTAGCTCTTGCACTAGCCGAATCTTATAAGGATGGAATTTGTATTTTTTTAATATTCGTTGGACACTTGTACGACTCACTCCTGTCGCAGTAGCCAATTGCATTGTACTCAGCGTACTATCCATTGCCACTTGCCCCAATACCGCTATTTCCGTAGGTTCATTTAGTACCGGATTTTCAACCTGCCTCTTTTTGTTATGAACGGAGCCAGTTTCGCGAAATTTGGCCACCAATTCGCGAACAATTTTTCCAGACGCATGTTTCTCAGGATGCCGTTGGTTGAACAGTTCGGCGACCCGATTTCCGCATTCATTGTTTTTGAAAAAAAGCTCAATAATTTCTACTCTTTCTGGAATTGAGTACACCATAATTAATCAATTTAAAAGACTCGGCAGTATTGGTACTCTTCAACTACAAGTCACAAGACAGTTATCTAGCAACTTCTTGTGGCCTATCTAAATACGAAACAAAAAGCGGACAATTTTTTGCTCACCAAAATCAGGCTAAAGAATTCGCAAATCAGAAAAAAAAACAGCGAATTCTTTTGAAGGAATTTACCAAGCTAATACCGTAAGTTTTGAAGTAAAATTAAATCGATTTTCGCATTTCTCGTCAAAAATATTGTTCGTATTTTCAAAGCTGCATATTTTCTAAAATAATGGATCGATTTTCAAAATGTAAGAATCGATGTATAGAGAATTAAAAGCCATTTCTAATGACCCCCCACTTGACTCCCATTCCCATTTAAAAAAATTTGGGGGACATTTTTACAGCAACTGAAAAAAATTGGCGTTTTATACCGTTTTTTCAATCTCACGGCTTTGTTATTGCAAATTTCGTAATCGGACCACGTCATTTTGTAGCTATTTTTATTGCGAACAAAATCATATCCTAAGCATTTTTTCGTATAAAGTCATCCCGCTGAGTTATTTAAAGAAAACTACTAAAAAAAATTTTTTTCACGATTAAATTGTTAATAACTTTTTCCCTGATAAAATAGTTTGTCAGCAAATTAGCCTGTTATTGTACTCATCATTTAAAGTATTCCTGTGTAGTTATTTCCGAGTTATCAAGAAAATGTCACCAACAGTAACTTTTCGGCCTCTGCCGTCTGGAGTAATAGTATTGTTTCCAGTACTAGCTACTACACCTTAAATCGAGTTTCAATAATTGACATGCAGTTTCACGAAATTTGAATAAATACTCTAAAAACGCTGATATTATGTACAAGAATCAAGTGGGTACTCTTTTGTTTGAAATCAAACTTTGTGACATTTCACACAAATAAATTTGCAATTAATTTAATTTAAAGCTATAAATCATGGAAAGTGAAAGTGAAAGTGAAACGGGCTGTACACCCCCTAAAGTGAGGAAAATGGCAGATAATGTTGATAACCAACTCCTGCCAGAAAAGTCCAAAATTATTAAGTGTCATTTTCATTATTTACCTTGGTTAATAAATCAAGGTCATCATTATTCACCAAGGTCAAAAAGATAGAAGTTTACGCGTCAAAGATAGGTCGATAATGGTGGGTTTATAGGCTAGTAGTGAAAAAAAAATCTGCTAAAGGTAAAACATTATAATAATTTGTATATAATGTGCAGAAAATTTCTATTATGTTCATTTGTATAACAACATATTTTAATTATTTATGTCCTCAAACAATTTTACTATATTGATGGTCGCCAATTGTATTATCAATGATTGATAGAAGGTGCCTGTAATAAATTAAAATTACCTGAATCACACCAAATTCCGCATTGCTGCACTGCACTGCTGGGCAATTTGTCAACTACTTGTCAACAACTGAGATTTATTGCCTAGTGGTTCAATGCAACTGTGATCGCTTTCCTTTGCCCGCGCTCGCATTCTTCAACTGGGCGTATACATTTCTACCACCTCCACGTTTAGTTCGACCAGACCTGTATATGGGTATGGCTAAATGAATATGGGAACAAGTTTTTCAAATATTTCAATGCCGAGTTGCTGCGTCAGCGACCGATCCTGGTTTGTAATTGCTTACTATATATTTTTTTGTTTTTTTCCTGCTCTGTAACTGGGATTTTCCCGTGAGCAGTTGTAATTTTAAATAAATAAATAAATAAATAAATGTGCCAAATAACGCGATCGATAAAAGGGTTATGATATTAATAATAAATTAACCCAAAAACGGAACATTTTTTATTTAATTTTTTTTTCGTAGATCGTATTTATTTATCGTCAGGAATATGCAGTCAAATGTTGTCGGTGAAATTTGCGGACACCCTGTATATGATGACTTCATGGCGGCAACGACATTTTTTTTAATACAATACCATCGATTTTGTACCGTATTTTAAACTTTTAATAAGAGAAGTTTTAAACAGTTGAGCTGAGTCTTGTGTTGTGGCAAACAACAAATAAAATTTGCTTATGGTTTTAGAACGTTCTTTGCAATGTTTTTGTTTTTACCTTGTACTGCTGTAGTTACTGAAACCCAGTAGAGGCAGTGTTGCCAAAAAAATCGAATAAAACCATCCGCCCACTAATATTTTTTTAGCGGATTTGATGGTTATCCTTTTCGTCAGGTTGATAGCGTAAGTGATGGCAAACCAGCGTTCAAGCGTCACAATTGTTAACGTGAATATCGACAAATGACTAGAAAAAACTGTCAGAAATCCAGCTATTTGACAGCCCAATCCTAGAAAACAAAGAGTAGTTTTATTTTTGTCCCAAGAAATTTAAATAAGATTTAACTGAATTCCTTAGCGGAAGCCAATAAAACATTTCATACCTTCGAAATCAAATTTGATTTAGTCAAATCGTAGTTAAACCTCATTTGGTAAACACTTATAGAAAATTAAGAGTCCTAAAAATTATTCGAGCAATAGAAATCTGTAAAAATCAGAGGCACTTATAGCGAGATTTTAAAAGTCAAAATTAGAATTCCTCAGGGAACTACACTTGGCCCAATTATTTTTAACATTTACATAAATTTTTTGTGGTTTGTATATGTTGGTAAGGTCAGTATTTGAACATCTTCGACGATCTTACCGTTTTGCCAATTGAAGGCGAAGTTGAAGTATTCGCCCATGGAATGGTAGTCCATGGAGGCGATAAGCAACAAGTACAAGCCCATGCAGAGGTCTGCGAAAGCCAGGTTGCATATGAGAAACCTGGATACGTTCATCGGTGATTCGCCAAATAAGAATACTACCATCACCAATAAGTTGCCCACGATGGCCAGTATCAAGACGCACCATACCGATATTCTCAGCCAAGTAACTCCCATAATGTCCTCGCAGGGGTTTAAGGCGTTTGGTTCTGGCCAACAATTCACCTCTGGTTTTCTGAGAAGAAAGGCATCATTGATTACTTAAAAAAAATGCTTTCTAGAGGATATAGCATCAAGAAACTTTCAGGGTAGATTCCTGTCAGCAAAATAAACACAAAAATGAGAGTAACATTTTTTTCTTAAACGATTCCTGAGGGTTAGAATGTAATCCTTCAAAGATTAAAGAAGAAAAACAGATTTTGATCTATTGATTCACAACTTATTAAAAAAATTTGGGAATAGATGCATTATGAAAAATGAAGTCAATATCGTAAAAAAATTCTTTTAAAATCCTTATAGTTTCTGAGAAAAAAATGATTGAAGTTGTAGTATTTTCAAGCCTTACATCGCTGGGCTTACATTCGCGTTGTGCGCTGTGTGCAATGCGCTCTCTCACGTGGCCCCAGGCGATTCCGAATACTGAAATTCGATTTTATTATTAACGTTTTTGCGATAGTGTTTACATTAGTTTTTCAAGTGTCAATAATGGTTTCAACTCGGAGTTGATGGATATCTTCTTAATTTATGGTGAAGCAGGACAACATTTGTTTTATGGCGAAGCATTTGTGTTATGGTGAAGCAAGACAACATTTGTGTTAGTTCGTAGAAACTGGGTAAGAAGCCCAAATGTGTTTACACGTCGGTAGACAAAATTTTGAAAAGTTGTTGTATCAAATAATTAGTGAATAATCTCTACGATTTTTTGATTTCATCTTAAGATGGATGGACAAACTTTTCTGAAATTACATTTCTGTTAATTTTCAATCTTTGAAGGATCCTAGAACTTTTAGGAAAAACTATGTTCTGTATTTGTTTCGACGAGAGGTATGCGTCCTAAAAATATGTAGCGACAGCGCTCTTATTACGCCCTATTTAATGACTCTTAATGTTATGACGTCATGTGGAGATGAAATAGCGATTTGTGGATATTATCTGTCTAGGGGCAGTGACATTCATAACAGTAACCTATTTTTTACAGTTTGGTATATTGAGGGTTGGTTATTGCCTATTAATAATGCCTTCTTGAAATGCATTGTTTCTTTTTGGTTGAACAACAGATAATTAAAGTAAATTCTTTAATAAGGACATTTTTCAAATAATGAAAACATTTAACCCCAAAAATGCTTTTTTTGTTTAAGGCATTTTAAAACATCAAAGGGCATTTTAAAATAAATTGGGCTACTCTAAAATATTTATAATTCGTACACCTATTTTAAATTTTTGATAATTTAAACTTGAATGCCCTTAATAATGTATTTTCGTAATTTTTACAGCTTAAGCTGGAGAGATGGCTTGTAAAGCAGTAGTTTAACAAAAAATAAGTAGATTTTGAAACTAATATTAACACATGTGACATGTACAGACATTGTAAGTTGAAAATTAAAATAACTACGAGTACATTACCGTCAGGCTATTTGCAGATAGTTTTCTCCCTCTCTGGAAATGGGTTACAAACATGTTCCGATTCAATTTATATATTTCACGTGCCTAGAACAAAAAATATACATTCAGCATACTTCACATGTCACATGCCACACATATTTTTAATTTATATAGTTTCAAAATCTATCAGTACAATTTGATTTTATCAGTAAACATGATATATTTTTCTCATTTTGTTCTTTCAATGCCCGTATTTAATTTTTATAATCATAATACTTATATAAATCAACTTTTAGTCGAACATAATGTTAGGTGTGAAAGCAGGACAATTGAATCAAAGGGTACCAAAGAGGTTGTTTCCGAATGTTGTCTACTGCTTTTCAATTTGTTCTTTTAGTCATGCCAAAGAAATGTTCTTTTGGAATTCATTTAGGAATTATAAGAAAAGAAAGATAGAATCATTGCGCAAAGCATAATAAAAAATTATAAGGACAGATGCATTAGACTTCACTGTTTTTTTGGATTTACAAACTTCGATTATTCCTCGAATTATTCGTGAAAAATAATATGTGTCTTACCTAAATATGAGCTTGCCACAAATGGCGTCCAGCTGACTCTCATTGATTTTAGTGGGATTAGGATGAAAAAATCCGTCATCTTCATCGGTTACTTCGATGGCCCTGCCTTCTTGTCTTTCAATTGTTTGCCCTCTCAGAGGAGTAAACAACGAGTCGTCCCCGCTTTGTAATTTCGTTGTTCTCAATGGATTAATTTCGGAAAAGTTCGTAATTTGTTCTTTCCACTCGTTCAACGGACCACTATAAAATAATTCTAATCTGCACAAGAGCGGTAATGTGGAATGGAGTAACGAAGATTTATTACAAATTTAAGAAACATGTTAAACTTTATTTTTCACTGGGATTGTAAACAATGTACATAATTGTTGCCGATAACAAACTAAATTATCACATTTAAGCTTGATATATTATCAGAAAAATAAAATTAGTTTAACAAATGTTGTAAATAATAGTGTCACAAACAAATATTTAGCGTTTCATTCTATTTATTTTATTATTAATCACGCGCCTTTAATGGTAAATATTAATAAAATGGGATAGAAGGTTCAGCGTGTAACATATGTAATAAAAATTTATTTAATGTGGACTAATAATGGTCTTTTATATGAAGTTATTTGTTTATGGTATAGTTTTAGTTTTTTCTCTGTTTATAGGAATGTTTATGTTCAGGTACACTGTTTATTTTATTTTTTTTATTCAACATTTTTCAATTAATTTTGTTAAGTTACTGTTATAAACGACAAAATTGTTAATTAAAAAAATAGAAAAATATGCAATATGCTGCAACACGTACATTACTCGACGTTTTTTGAAATAAATTATAAAAAAATAGTGTATACCTTAATATATAAAAATGTTGGTTATTACTAAAAATTATAACGTTGAATGATAATATGTATATACATATATCGATGCGACGGGCGCATATTATTTGCAGGTGCACATTTCCGCGGTTTCCTGTGCATACATGTTTATCATCAGCAGATCATAAAGTACCGGTAATAAAAGTGTCGCATACCTGCATTTCATTTCCAAAGTCCATGCAAGGACGCGGCTACCTTGTTTTTATTGAGGTGCAGTAAGAACGATTTGGACCCGGAGTTTGGGGTCTAGCCTGGTCCACTATATAATTCTTTTTATTGCAGTTTTCTTAGGCATACAACATTATTTTCAGAATAAACTGTGTATCCCAGATTTTGTGAAAAAAAAAATAATAAAGAGTACTCTATTAATTTTGATATCAAAGCAAACTTGTATGAAAAAAATCTAATAATTTTCAAAAAACGTCGAGTAATGTACGTGTTGCAGCATACTGCATATTATTCCATTTTTTTAATTAACAACTTTATCGTTTATAACAGTAACTTAACAAAATTAATTGAAAAATGTTGAATAAAAAAAAAATAAACAGTGTACTTGAACATAAACATTCCTTACTTTTTTAAAAATATATTATATAAGTTTATTCATTCAATGTGCCAACTTAAATTTCTAGTCATACTGAGATAGCATGTTTTTACCTAAAGATCTGAGTTAGCATGTTTTCCAAGCTTAATTTGAGATAGCATGTTTTCTAACTGAAATTTGAGATAGCATGTTTTTCAACCGAAATCTGAGATAGCATGTTTTCATACTAAAGCGTCGATATAGTTATGTCTTAGTTTTTAAATTTTTACGAAAAACTGGTGTTCCATGTACATTACTACATATTCTAATTAACAGAAACAATGACGTGAATCCAAAAACAAACTGTTGAAGACGATGCGTATATCCTTTTTCACTTTTTACGTGCTGAAAACTGAAATTGGAATAAAAATGTTTTTGTCCGTTCTGTTTCTCAAGAGCATATCCATATTTCAAAGAGAAACATGCAGAATAGAGTACCATTCGTTAGAAAATCAACTTTGAGATAGTATCTAATTTTTAGTGGTGCTCTAATTCTGAAAAATCTTTGAGAAATTAATTTCAAAGCCTTTACTTTTTTTATTAAGTATTTCCGAACTGAGGAATGTTTTTGCTTAAAATCAAACCCTCTATCAAATATTTCAATTTGGGAGCTTAGAACTTATAATCACTAATAAAACTATATAGCTTTGTAAAAATACCGCTTTAAAAATATTGTTTTATAAAACACCAGGATTCCATCAAAATTGTTTTATGAACAGATCAATGTTTTTACTATCAGGAGTTTATTATTATTATAGATCACTAATTTATGTCGTAAAAATAAAACAAATTTATTCACTGCCTGTATGCAACTATCAAACAAGAACCACAGCAATGCCTGTTAGAAACCTTTACTTAAATTATTATCACATCTACAAAGAAATATTTTTTTTTTGTTCCAAAATACTTTAACGCGCTTCATTAAAAAAATATGTGCATAAAAAAATAAACGTGATGTTAATTAATAAAGTCATTTTCAATTCAAAACTAATAAATAATAATGTGTGAAATTAATACGAAAATATTTTACTCTCTTCAAAATGTATTAACTTTTCTTCAATTGTATATAAAATATATTAAGTAATGCATTTAACTTTACTATTGCTTGTTCACAGAATGGAAAAATTCAAACATAGACTTACTTTCTCCTAAAGTTTCTGATATCAAAATTATACAACTGGTTATGTAAAAAAAAATGTTTTTTTTTCTATGAGAAATATGTAATGGTTATGTATACGTATGAGAAATAATAAATCTTGTTAATAGCGATGACTAAGTATAAAATAATCTTGAAATCCTGGATCTATGTATAATCTAGTGTTACTTACTAGTTAGCGTAGACCAGAGTTTTCGCGGATCGTTTCCTTCTCGCAAAAGAAATAAAATTTGAACCAGATTTCGTCAGTTCCTTGCACATTTTTTTCAGGTTTTCCTCGTGTTGCGCGTGTTTGGCGGGGTCGTGTTGCTCTGGATATTTAAATGCGCAACAGTGAAAGGAATGGGTCAGCTTGGCTTCTTTTAGATTCTACAAAACGCTGTTGATTAATATTTTCATTATAAGAACCTTGTACCTACTTTAAGGTCGTAAATACTAGGAATAGTTTGCATAGTGTGCGTCTCTTCAATTTTTAGAATTTCCAGTTCCTCGAGTCCCACGGTGGGTAACCCCTGAATGGCGGTTTCTGATAGATCCCTGGAATGGAATTGGTTGAATCATTCTTTCATTATTACTCGCGTTTCGATGTTCAACCACTTGTCAAGAAATATTTCGAAAATAGCATTTGTCAAATTATGTATAGGCTTCTCTAGTGAACTTTCTTATTCTTGGTGTCGCTTGCCTATTGATTAGCCTTGATAATAATTTATTGCAATGCCAATGTCACCTTTTGGTGGGATAGGCCAGGAAAATAAGCTGGGAAATGACCATTTCGCGACTTTTTGTTTCGGCAAGCTGAATTTATCACTATAGATGCTAAATATTATGTATAATAACATATTAGTTTCCACAGTCATAAAAATGTGGGGAAGATTATTTACAGGGTGGTTAATTGTATAATTTTCACGTAAATTCACGTTTTTCGCTTATAACTTTTTTCCGTTCATTTCCACGAGAAAATAGTAAAGCACTTTTTTTCGTCTTCAAAAGACCTACAAAACTAGCCCTCGAGCGTCAAAAAAATATTGATTAGATCAAAAGTTATAAACAGAAGAAGTTTATTTGTGACTTTTGAATTAAACATTTATAAACTGCGTTATTATTAGGTACCAGAACGTTTTAGCATCGCATCCTCTCATTCCTTATCACTGTCTAATAACTCACACGAAATCTGGAATCGGTAAGTTGAATAGTTTACAAGTTATGGCCTTATAAACAAATTGACTAATTATTAGTCTGGACGAAAATTAACAGACAGCAGTGACACCCAAAGAACTTTCTAATGCTAAATTTTTAAATAAAAATGATAAATTTAAAACGTTTCAGTAAATTAATTATTTAAATGCCTATTAATAAATTCAAATAAATCGTGTATTATATATTTTCTGTTTTTGCTCCTTATAATGTTTTACCCATCAAAATTAACAATATACCTTCAAAGCCCAGACAGCCAAAAATTTGACTGTTTTATTTGGCAACAAATTAAACTCACATAAACTTTGTCAGAATCGATATTATTATTATCCTCGATAATAGTAAAAACTCAACTTTGTGGGTTTCTTGTTTTAAATATTATTAATTATTGTAATTTTATTTACGGACCTTCAGTTTTTGAAAGTAATGGGTTCAAAAATTTCAGAATTTCTGTTTATACTTTATACATGATTCGAGAAATTTTGAAAAAATTAGTCACGCTGCATGGTTGAATATGTAAAACAGGAGAAAGTTTGATGCGTTAATATTTGATCATAAAATGGTTATCTAAATTAAAATATCTTAACTACTGGTATTGTATATCTAGATACTTACTTACAGTATTCTTAAACTTTTCAGTCCACTAAACGTATTTTTTCCAACTTGATTCAATCCGAAATTGGACCGCATGTATCTATTTCACAAAAGAATATTGAGTTGAATATATAGTACAGCTGAGGACAACAAAAAGTTTCCAACCTAAACCATTTGGTTCGTTATGAAGTCCGGATTGCCCATTTTCATATTTTAAATATTTTAGGTCAAAAACCTTTTTATGTTTATGATGACACAGGGTTGGCCAATTTCGACACGTCTGGAGGTAGAAGGGGGTTCTTATACAGGGTGCGGCATTAGTGCGTCGAAGTACGATATCTCCGTTATTATAGATGATATCAAAAAAAGTAATTTATAAAAATTGTAGTCAACTTAAAACTGCACATTTTAAAATTATTTTCGTATATACAGGGTGTTATGTATTACCAGGGTGAACCAAACAACTATTTTTTCAACTGTAAAACTGTAAAAACATCAAAAAGTTATGCCTGCAAAAAATTATTCTTAAGTTGTCCTGTCTAGGGTATACAGGACGCTGAAATTGGAATGATTCTAGTATACAATTAACCATAACTTTTGAAATACCCTGTATAACATAATTAAACCCTATATTGTAAGGATGGGAGAGATGAGCTTAATCTAAATTTGAAATAATAAACATTTAAAAAATAGTATGTTTGGTTCACCCTGGTAATACGTAACACCCTGTATATACGAAAATAATTTTAAAATGTGCAGTCTTAAGTTGGCTACAATTTTTGTAAATAACTTTTTTTGATAACTTCTATAGTAACGGAGATATCGTACTTCGACGCACTAATGTCGCACCCTGTATAAATTCTCCGAGGGGACAAAAAATAATTGAATTCTGCCGTACTCAATTTTCTAGAAAAATTGAATGTCGAAAATCGCATTTCGATATTTTGATTTGTTTAAGAGACCACTCTTTCAATTTTGACCGTTATTACAATGACGAATAATTTCTTTATTTGACGTGTTATTCGGAAAAAAAAAATTTGAAAAGAACATTTTATTGTAATTCGTTGTTTTAATTTCATGATTAAGCCATAAAAGGTCAAAATCGATACACCCTGTACATCGAGCATTTTATATTAAGATACTTACAGTTCTGCTATTTGTGATCCATTAAAAGCGAAGTCTTCTACTTGGCTTATGTGGTTATAGTTTAGCGTCCTAAAAAGTAAAAATTTAATTAAATATAGAGCAACAGAAACAAATAACAATATTTAAATAGTATTTTTTTCAATGAGAACTATCTGTTTACATTAAAATATGTTTCTTGCGACAGCGTGAAGTGTATGAAAGTAATAAATGTTAAAATAATTGCTTACACCTGTTGGGCCGTAATTTTGATTGAATTTGGTGGAAGACGCTCTATCTTGTTGTGGTCTAAGTCTCTGAAATCATATTTTATTAATGATCCAAGTATAAACAGCACCGTTTAGGTGATAACATGCAGGCCTTTTTTTAAGTTGAAATTTTCTTTTTAACACAATAAGGAACTGAATAAAGTAATTTTTTTAAGGGAAACAGTGGAGGACGTAGATATTAATTTTGACATTACAGATTATTTTGGAAATCATATTAATACATTTGACTTGTAATTTGTAATTACATGTATTGCAAAGAAAAAAAGTATTTTCTATTTTATTTGGAAAATTAATTATTTCCAGGTTACTATTATTTTAAATCTAAAATAAACTTATCAATTCGAATAAATCTAGTTTTCTTTTATAAATATGTTTTCAAATACAACGTCTTTTACCTATCAATATTTTTAGGAACAATTCTCCACAGAAAATTCAAAATTCAACGTTAATGGCTTTTTTGAAATCTTGATAACAGAATTTGTATTAAAAAAAACCATTTCTAAAATAGGTTGATAAGAACTTTTCATAAAATAATCATCTCCGAAATATATTATAACTTAATTTACATCAATATACAGGGTGATTCAATCATAATGACATTAATTTTAAGAGAAGATAGGGAACAATGAGTAGAATACGAATACGCGATAAAAAACATTTTAAAATGCAAATTTAAGCTGAAAAAAATATTTTCAAATCATTATTTAAACCGCTTTTCAGACCACTCCTGACTGCTGACCCACAAAGGTTTATCGAGAGTGAATCTTGACCCACCGTATTATTCGGTTACTAACCTAGTTTTTACTGCTTTTGTAATGCGTAGTGAGAGAGTGAGAGACAAGAAATAAATAGATCTTTTTACCTAGACACATAAATGAATAAGATTTTTTTTTACATTTTAAATATTAACAAGTATCATTTATTTATTAACAAAGACAAATGTATAAGGATAATAATTGTTTTCGAATCTTAGATTATTACAATTTAGTATTTTTAATATTGTTAACGTTTTTACTATGGTCTGTAATTGAATATGAGTTATTAGTATTAAGTTCAATTAATTATTTAGTTTAAAGTACGTATACCTAGTTACTTGCTTTTCAAGAAGTATACTATTTAAAATGTCAGTATGGTTAAAACATAACTCTTCGTCCATAGCACTTTGCTAATAAAGTTGGGATCCATTGCACTTTGATTTTGATACCAAAATTCTAGACGACTGGGGAAATCAGCTGTTTCGCTTCAACGGTCGAACGCTCTGTGAGCTGTCGACGCGTTCCCGGTAAGAAAATGTGATGCAAAGTAGGGCGTCGAATTAATGGAAGTTAAGGGGTAATTTGCTTATCTTTTAGAATGTCGAGTAAATTTTTTTTTTTCGATTTTCTGTCTTCCGAATACATGGTTAAAATTATTGACATTATGACTGAATCACCCTGTATATGAAAGAAATTACTACAATTAATTATTTTAATGTTTTGAGGTACTGTTATGTAATTTATAAACGGAAAATTATTCATGACTAAAAAAATATTGCTTTTATTTAAACAAAAGAAAAACCACATTTTCTTTCATACATTTCCTCAAAATAAAATTTGTTTTAAATTTTTCTCTTTTTATTGTTTACATATTGGCATTCGCTAAAATTACGCAATAAAATGTGTTAATCGGTGAGAACGATCAATTTTTTTGGATGTTCAGACAAGATTTTTCACAGGAATATATTGTAATTATTTCAAGTCGTGTTATCTTTAAGATTTCGAAAAAAGTTGCTCTTAACAAATGTGCTTAACTTATTTTGAATCCCGCATGGTGCAAAGCAAACGCCAACTTAAAAAAAAAAACACCCTGTAACTATTTTAAAGCTTTGAGGCATATCTATGATACCAAGATAAAGCCTTGGGAAATTCACTTACAACAAAAACATCGTGTTATTCTTGGGCAAGAGATATAAATCAGGAACTTCCATCAGACCGGTCCAAAGGATTCTCCTGGAAAATATTTTACAAAATTTAAGTGACTTCAAAAATAATAATTCAATTAACCTTAAAAGGAAAACTCACAAAGAATAAAACGTGGAAGAGGTCACTCCCTGTAACAGACCATGAAGAAATTTCAGCTGGGGAGCGTGTGATATATATCTGAAAACAAAGTTTGTCAATTTACGCTACACCAGATGTAGGTATATTTATTCTTACAAAGTCCTCAAGTTGAGTACGTTAGCGAAAGTGCCTTCTTCTATAACCCGCAAATCGGGCAAGTTGGAAAGAGTTCTAAAACGTAGAAAGAAAAGAGTCTCATTACTTTGATCTTTAGTACAATCCGTTTGAATTTGATGGAATACTTACACGTCTCTAAGCGTTTCTCTGTAAGGATCCAAGGAACTCCTTTTTATAACTTTTATGTTAGAGTCAGTAATTGTTAGTTTCCTAAGGAGCTTGTTTAAGTTGGTGGGGATCTCAAAGAGTAGATTACCATAGCAGTGTACGTCGGTCCCATTGTGGTCTAGATATTCGCAATAATATGGCGTAGCTGTTGTTTCTGTAATTGGAAGAGGATTGGCGTTTGAATGGGCAAGGCTCTTCATCGATTTGTATAAATCCACGTACAATGTTACTGCCGTTATCCAAATCACCATAAAATTCATAACCTATAATTGGAACACACGAATTAATGAAAAATAAGTATAGTTTTCTTACACTTCAATATTTCTATAAATCCTACATTTTGAATCATAATGTAATTTAACATAGAACAAATCTATATAATTTTGCCCTCAAATATATAAAAATTATTAAAAACTGTATTAAGACTGTTTAGAAACTGTTTGCAAACTTTTTTGTAAAAACGTTTATACAAATGCGTCTGTGTATTTTATTTTCCGTCTAGGGTGGAAATAGTGTATTATGGGACAAGTGCAGAAAATTATCTGGGTTCATAACAAATTATATTGTTTATACTCGTGGACGAAAAGTTTATACAATTTCAAAGCGAAAAAGTCACATGTTTATTCATTATTATTATAAGCTCCAGAACAAAAATATTTAATAATAAATGTAGAGTGAAGAAAAGTACAAATTTAGAAAACAGAAAAAATAATATTTTCCATTCAAATAAAATTTCCAGAGTGATGTAAATGTTATTATGTTATGGAATAAATACATTTTTAGTTGTTTTGATTTATAAACATTGTAATTTATCAAATGAATGTTCTATATTATAAATTTTATTTTTCTTACAAAAAAATATTAGATTTTTTGATTATTGTTATATAATCGTTAATACAACTGGAAAAAATTAAAGTAACAAAATTTCCATGAATTTTTTAGTGATTTTAGGAAGGCTGTATCTCCGTGAAAAATGGTCGCATCGAGATAAACAAAGAAGCAGTTTAAAGCTTTAAGTTTCTAGTTTCAAGATATTTAGATAAAATTTTTTGAGGTATGGCTATCAAGCAATGAAAAGAAATACCTCGAGAAAAAAATTTTCAAATTTTTTTTTCTTTGGACTGTCCATGGAAAACCTCAATCAATACAGAGGTCAGTTAGTTTATTTATTCAGCCCAATATTTTAAAGGTCTCCGTGCGACTATTGGTTGCCGAGATGCCGATGGTTGAACGAAAAATAACACTTTTGTCTTTAATCATCGATATCTTTGCAAGAAATTATTGCACAATAAGTCCAAGGGCAGTTTTGAAATCTTGAGTAAATTCTACAAGTCTACAAAGACCTGTCATGATTTTCAAAAAAAATTTTTTTTTTCATCTTTGACATCAATTTGAAAAAAGTGCAAAAATGGCATTTTACAATTTTTTAGAAAATCTACCGCTATTTTACAAACATTGATGAAAAGACTAATGTTGTGAGACATTTTTACAGCTCAATGTACCCTTAATAACCGTGTAGTTTTCAAAACTGACCCAGGATTTATTGTACAATAGTTTCATGCAGAGATATCGATGATTAAAGGCAAAAGTGTTATTTTTCATTCAACGATCTATATCTCGGCAACCAATAGTCGCACGGAGACCTTTCAAAAGTCAGGTTGAAGCTGCATAAATAAGCTAATAGATCCCTTTATTGATTGGGTGTGGACAAATTTTACAAAAATTTTTTTTCTCGACGTATTTTTTTTATTGCTCGATAACCGAGTACCAAGAATTTTTTTGTCTAAAGAACTTGAAATTAGAGACTTGAAGCTTTAAAATGCTTTTTTGTTTATCTCAATACGACCACTTCACAAGTAAGTAGGTATGTCGTGGATATATCGCTAACAAAATGCATAACACTGAATTATATCGTCACTGGAAAAAGCTAAATACAAAAAGCCAGTCTGCAAAAATCAAACATTTTTATTAATAAAGAAGTTACAAAGCCTTATAAAAACAGCCAACATTTAAAAACACCTTGTATTCCTAAACGAATGAAAATAACACAAATATCCCGAGTTGGTGATATCTGAAGAATTTTTTTCCTTCTTGCAAAAAATTGTAAAAAAAATATCGACAATGGCTCACCCTGTACAATAGGCATACCTACCTATAAATTTAACATATGTAACGTAAATATTTATTCAGGTCGCTTTGAAATACAATCGCAAAATGAATTTACTACGTAACGATATAATGTTATCTTCTACTTAGATAAATAGGTACATACGTTTTCTGTTTATAGATTGAAATAAATACCTTAGAAAAAATTGATATCAGATGAAAGTAAAAATAACACAGATACATATTAATAAGTATTTACCAATGTTATCATGTTTAGCGCCAGGGTATAAAGCGTTTATTTTTTAATCTGGAAAATGAATTCTCGCACAGAATATTAGAATTGATGGATGAAAAACTTACTCTTTTAATAATAATACCTAGTTAATTTTACGTGTAAAATACATTTCGTTACATTTTCAGCATTTAGAGGTACTTAATTTATTTTGGTTACACCAAACAGCTATTATACATATTTATTGCTTTTTGAAGTAGAGAACAATCTGATTCAGATGTACGTTCTGTAAAAAATTTTAGATCAGCATACAATAAACAATGTACCCAGTTAACATTTGCAATTATATCATTAATAAACATTACGAATAATAGCGGGCCCAAAATAGATCCTTGTGGTACACCTGATCTCTGCTGGAACGTGGTATATATTCTGTAGATATGACTTCAACAATGAAATCAAACGCTATTAATTTTTCTAATAAAATTCCGTGGTCAAATCTGTCGAACGCCTTAGAGAAGTCAGTATACCCAACATCAACCTGGCTCTGTCGGTCAAGCTTTTCAGCTATGTACTGACACTTTGTGACTGGGTTAGTAGCCATTGATATGTTCTTCATAAAGCCATGTTGTTCAGATATTGCATTTGAAACCCGATTTCCAATGAAGTTATGAAGAATAATTTCTAAAACCTTCGCAAAGTTACATAATAATAGTTACAAATAATATATTAGTCAGTTTCAACTGTTTCACCTAAATGGGACAATTTCCAAAGATAAGGAAAATAACAGGATTAACTTAAAAATAAACGCAAGTGGTTCCGACAGAGTGGTAGCACAAACTAAAAATGAAGGAGCAGGAACTGTGTCTATTCCCAATGTCCCATACACTGTACAAAAATTTCAGTCAGTTTTACTCATTAATGTATCAATTTCTGTCCACACCCGATTGAGTGAAATTTTCACTCTATTAGTATGAGTACAACTGAGTGAAACTATTGCATCAGAAATGATGGGTGAGTTTTTTACTCAGATTTGGTTGGTAATTAACTAAATATTGAGTGAAAAATTAAATCACTCATGAATGATTAATTAGGGTATATAGTGTTGAAATTAATTCACTTCGCGGGACCTTCTCCTGTACTGGCTGAGACCCGCCGCCGCCGGCTAAGGCCTGTTCTCCTGGCGATCACGCTTTTCTGCAGCTTCTAACGGGCCCCTATCAACTGTGGTCGAGATTACAGAAGCAATATGTAAGTGGTGCCATCTTTACGGCACCATTCAAATTAGTCGAAATTAATATGCATTTAAACTCGCTCAGTAATAAGGACATTTGCTCTGATTTAGGTACAAGCGCACGAAATACGAGTGAAGAATATATTTAAGAAGTACCTATATTTGAGTGAAAGTACTCAGTTTTAGTTTAAAAATAATCACAATGAGTAAAATGATCAAAATGCCCAATATTGAGTGAAAATGTACCTACTCAATAATTTCACTCAATCCGAACAATTATTGCTTTCACTCACACCGATTTTTTTACAGTGAGTAGATTTAATTCTTTTAATGTCATTAATAACATCTGTTTGACTTATAGAAATATTTGATGATATAGATTGAGATAAAAATAGGCTTGTTATTTATAACGCTTGGTACCGTAAATGATTCATCATCATGTCATATCTTTTGAATGAGTTAATTTTTTTTAAAACGCCGAAACACGTTAACTGATTTTGATTTTTTCCCATCTTTCGGTTATATAATAATTAATTTTTCTTCAACCCCCTAACCCCCAGCTACCCCTACTTTTTTTTTTTTAATGGAAACATAAGGCATTAGGGAGCTCGTTGAAAAGCTTATAGAAAACCGAATCCAGCCATACCAAATAAACAAGTTTTATTTTTTCAATTGCAAGGTTTTTAGGGTTGTATAAAACACCTACTTAAAATACACCTCAATAAAATTTAATTATTTTCAGTGTTATCCTCCATGAATTTGCACAGAATAAAATAAAGAATTTGAAACTGTACCAATCGCTGTTACGGCAAAAAAGATATATTTTTTATGTTGTGTTTTTTTGGTACCACTTACTTGCCAGGCTTTCTGGTTAATTTTTCGCTTTAGTTGTAAATTGGAGTTTGAAACGTTACTATTGTGTCAAAATCAAGTTATTTACTGAATGGCAGAGGTATTGTCGGAAAGGCAACGCATCGAAATCTTGCTTGGATGTGGAGACAAAATAAGAAGTCAGGCTGAAGTGCGCGATTTATTTAATGCGAAATATCCCGAAAACCAAATCTCGCAAGGGACAGTTAGTAAAATATTTCAAAAATTTGAGGAACACGGTACAGTACGGACCAAAACTGGACGGGCACGTGCTTTGAATGAAGAAAAGAAATTAGACACTGCATTGGAACTTGTTGAAAATCCTCATACTTCAACTGTTTCATTGGCCCGCAATCACGATGCTTCTCGAACTGCAATTCGAATGTTTCTGAAACAAGATAAATACCACCCCTATAAGGTATGTCTTGTCCAAGAGCTTTTGGAAGACGATTATGATAGGCGATTACAATTTTGTGAGGAAATTATATATGAGACGGTGTGACGACAATAATGGTTTTCAACGAGACGTACTTTTTTCGGATGAAGCTACGTTTTATTTAAATTGAGTGGTTAACAGGTACAACTATCGCTTTTGGTCCCAGGAAAATCCACACTGGACATGCGAATCGCATACGCAGCATCCGCAGAAAGTTAATGTATGGGCAGGTATCATCAACAACATAATCTTGGGCCCATTCTTTTTTGAAGAAAATCTTACTGCCACACGCTACCTGGATTTCCTAACATTTGACCTGATACCTGCTCTAGCTGTGATTTTCCCTCATGAAATTTATCCAGATATACCGAATGAAAGAATTTGGTTCCAACAAGATGGCGCTCCCCCACATTTTGGTATTGATGTTCGAAGATACTTAGATGAAATGTTTCCAAATCGCTGGATTGGTAGACGGGGTACAGTTGAATGGCCGCCAAGATCCACCGACTTAACACCCCTGGATTATTTTCTTTGGGGATATTTGAAAGAAAGAGTCTACCAGGACAGACCGGATAATATTGAGAATTTAAAGAACAAGATTGGGCGGAGATGCATAATTTACCAGCTGAAGTCATTCAGAATGCTGTGGACAGCTTTTACTACTGTCTTGGAGAATGCCAAATAGTGAATGGAGGACATTTTCAGCATTTGCGACATTGAGTTTATTTTTGTAAATTATCTAGTTGTTTCAATTTCTAAATGAAAAAAAACTTGTTTATTTGGTATAGCTGGATTCAGTTTTCTATACGCTTTTCAACGAGCCCCCTTATGCCATTTGAAAAAAAAAGTAGGGGTAGCTGGGAGTTAGGGGGTTGAAGAAAAATTAATTATTATATAACCGAAAGATGGGAAAAAATCAAAATCAGTTAACGTGTTTCGGCGTTTTAAAAAAAATTAACTCATTCATGATATGATATGAATATATATAAGATATGAATTTTATTCCGTAGTTCTGGCCATCCCTGTATATATTTCAGTATGTAAGGAACAGGTTCTAAATTAAATTGAGAATAAAAATAAGTACAGAATTTTCTTGGACATGATTTTATATTATATTCAATATTATACAGGTAGGCTTCATGTCACAATTTGATATCAGAATTATGCAGGTTTTAGAAAATAATACAGGTTGGTCCTGAGGTAATGGGCCAAATTCATGAGTAGATTCCCGAAGCAAAATTATTGCGATTTAGCCGAACTTACCTTAGTCCAAAAGTTGATAGTTACAGGGCGTTAAATGTAAAATATTATTTTAGTTTATTTCCATTTATTTCTTAATAAATGAAAATATCTACACATTTTGAGGTTTGGGGATTGGGGTTCTTTGGATAGAGGAATTGAAATTTGTTCACCTTTTGGTTATAATTCATAGAGGGCGCCAGCTGCCGTAGATTGAATGTGTTGAAAACGACATAACTTTTTTTTTTTTAAGGTATCTCATCTTTGGTACCAAATTCTTATTTTCCAACTTTTTTTACACAAAAATGGTAGACTTTATGAATGTAGCTGTCTCGCACCTTTTCCGAGATATTTGGCTTTGAAACTTCCGTAAAATGATCAAAATGCCCAATACTGAGTGAAAATGTACTCAATAATTTCACTCAATGAATTCACTCCGAACCTTTATTGCTTTCATTCACACCGATTTTTTAACAGTATATGCACAACGCAATGCTGCCAACCGCATATCACTAAATACCTCTATTAGCGCGTAATTAAAAGAGTTTAGTTATTTTCTGAATAGACCTCGTATTTGGAAACTATTCCTCAAAATAGTGAATCCTATGTATGAAAAATTGTATTACCGAGGATTTTATCCAAAAATCTAATATCACCACGTTATTGTACACCCCTTAGAATGGTACACTGTACTGTCATCTTTTTGTAACTGTTAACAGTTCATTTTGCAAGAAACAGGAATATACACAAAAATATCATAAGCGTAGTATTTGTAATTTTGTAGAAGTTATAATATGCACCTTTTTAGGATCTTTAAAAATATATTTGAGAAACATTTGATTCTTACTTATTATGTTAATGGCTTGCCATCTATAAATCGGTACACCCTGTATATTTTTGGAAAGATAATTGTAGTAAAACTATTTGTGGTAAACACATAGTTGCTGCGGTCCTATGTAACAATTTAGCAAATCTTAGAAGACTAATTAAACCCTTAAGTTAGATTGTAAAGAAAATTTCCTCAAACTGTTTGTCGTCATATACAAGTGCCTCATCGCTGTTTTTTTTTAGATGTGTCATGTCCTTTTAAGGGCCCCATATTCTTTAAATAGTGTTTTCCGCAAAGACAAATAATTTCAAACATTTAATAACTGAATAATCTAAAGCTTATCAAATAATAGGAATGTTATGTCATGCCACCTGAGTATTTTCAAAGACGCCGCAGTAAAACGAATAAACAGGTGCAAAAAACGATCAAACCATCAAGGTTTTAGGTACTGAAATCTACGAAAATACTAACTTTTTTATATATAATTCCACATGTAAATATTCTTATAACATTTACTTGCTTAGTCCTACATATAAAATTGTTTACTTTTATTTATAAGTACGTGAAAATAATTCTTAAAATGTGGGGTTAGAATAACAGCAAACGCATGTTTTACAAACGCTTTTTTTTAGTTATTATTTTATTTGAGTAAATTTAAATGGTAACAATGAATAAACAAAACATCAAGGATTTTATTTTTGTGCTTACTTTTGTTCTACACGTTTTACTTTTAAAGATTTCAGTACCTAAAAACGCCAGAAATTTCACTATTTCTCGGCCAGGAATATGGCCACCTTAATCATTTTATTATTCACATTTTGATTGCATCTGTCGCACGTGGTTTGACGTAAAATGCCACCTACAGCGTCACTTGATTGTTGAAATATCTCGATATATCTGTCAAGCAAATACAAATAACTGATTTGTTTCGAAGATAACCGGAAATACTCAATACATGTTAATTATCTACCGATAATCGATAGATTTCTATCTCTT